TTTCCACATAACAACCATTATAGCTCTGCAAAAGGAAAGTAAAGCAGACTTGCAGTACGATAAACACTCTAGTGACGGACAGACGGGAGAAAAGGGCAGTCACGAGATTGGCCAACGTCATGTTTTGCAATACGCAGAGCTTATGAAGGCACTTCGAACGCCAGAGCAGAGCGATCTTCGCATTCGAATGATAGAAGCTATGCGCGAAACAACCGCACAAGTACGCCAAGCCTGTTCAGAGTCCATCTCAGTCGTGGTCGAGTGTGTTCATACCGTCAATACTCGTCGGTGGATCCGCCAGCCATCTCAGCAAGTGTTTGATGCGCTGGTTCAACGAATGGAGACATCCTTGGCAGCGTTACAGTCTGCTCGCGATTTCTGCGTCACCAATACCACCGAAGCAATTATAGACTGTCACTCCGATCTCTTTGACCAAGACGGCCAGCTGAAGATATCAGACACTCTCCAGCCACAGTCTCTGCAAGCGATGATGGTTGCCATGGTATTGGAAGAGCGGATACTAGGAGTGGCTGTGGCGATGGAGACGATGCTGAAACACGTTCTTCAGCTGACGACTTCACAAACCCGGCATCGCATCTGGCTCCCGTCCCGCATACGCTATGCCTTTCACTGGATTTTTAGTGGGAGGAAAACAATCCCAATTGCCGGAGTCTCTGATGACGGCGGTGCAGATGATCCAGACGTGGCCGATGAACAGTCCAAGGAAGTGCGCCAGCGGCTCCGTCTCATCCGAGGATACGAGGCTCCCACCCGGGCAGGCCCAGTCGCCAGAGCTATTGCCGGAACCTATCGTTGGCTCACCAACCCAGCTGGCATGTATGCAATGCGAATGGTTGTTGTCACACTTGCCACTGCCATTCCCGCATCTATTCCTCACTCAGCTGGCTTCTTCTATCGCGAGAAGGGATTGTGGGCTGTCATCACCGCACAGACATGCGTGCTCCTTTACATGGCCGATTTTACCTTTTCCCTCATCTCCAGAGCCCTCGGGACAGTGATTGGAGGAGTCTTTGGCCTTGTTGCGTGGTACATAGGATCTGGCAGTGGTCCAGGTAACCCGTATGGGTTGGCCGCCAGTGTGGCAGTTTTCACCGTTATCTCTATGTGGTTGAGGATATTTTTACCACTGGCCTATACACAGGCAACGGCTATGTGCGGCGTCACCTTCATCCTGATCATTGGTTTCAGCTATGACAACGTCCATCTACCCCAGTACGGAAACCCTGGCAGAGGATACCAGGCCTTCTGGAAGCGATTGGTCACTGTCTTGCTGGGCTTTCTCGCTGCGACCATTGTTCAGCTCTTCCCCAAACCCCCGTCTGCCACCGGACATGTGTGTAAGACTCTGGCAAATACCGTCCGTACCTTGTCAGACTATTACGCCCTGTTGCTATCACATTGGAGTCGGGCAAACCAGGACGGCCCCATTGGCGCTACTGCCATAGAGGAGCTTACACTAGAGGTTGCAGAGGTTCTCTCATCATTGAATGGCTCATTAGCGCTTCTGAAGGTGGACTTCAGTGCGGGCCCCTTCGATCAAGCGGTTTTGCGTCAGACTCAAGAGCAGTGTCGAAACATGAACCAAGCGCTCGGGAGACTTTTGTATCTGTCGACTACTCTTCCCAAGGAATTCCAAGAGAGACTAGTCACTGCTCTTGGAATACTGGATGATGGTGCCATCGGAAACATCATGGCAGTGCTGGCAATCGTCGAACAAGCCCTGCGGACCGGATCCCCTCTCCCCGAAAGACTTCCTGTGCCTCTTGTCCGTACCTGCTTTGAGTCCCTATCCTATGCGCAGCACCATAAGATTGAACTAAGCACAACGCTTGTGCGAGATGAGAATTACCGACGGTACTGTGTTGCTGTGTCATCTTACTTGAAGTTTCTCACTGCAATCGATGATTTAGTCTTGTGTTTGAAGGAAGCACTAGGAGAACGTCACGTTATTTATCTATGGGATGAGGATGTTTAATTATGTATCGCTGCAAGAGGAAAGATATTCAGCGCCCTTGGCCAGCGACTATTCTCGGCACCACATTCGCAAACAAGCACACTTTCATTCTGATCTTTGTTATGAGCTACTGTTATTAACATGGTTCACGCGGAGGTGTCCCTTGTCCGACAAATTCGACACCCCGTCGGTGATACAGCGAATCTTGCGTGCATTCATTTTAACAAAGTCAGCTGGGTTTCCGGGAATTAAGGAAATTGCGAAGCAGCAAAGCTTGTTAATATATCACTTCGACTGTACCCGTTTGCCTCTCGTGTGGCACATAGTGATGAATTCGCAGAGCATGCACAGCTTAAACTTTCTCACTTGTTCCAGTTGTCTCACTTCAAAAACTGTGCAGCTTCCTGCAGTATAGTTGCAATCTTTTGCTGCCGCTCAAACTTTTCTCCGCGATGGGGGCTGTCTGTGATTGAGAACGATGTCGCATAATTCAAAGCTCTGATTGACTGATAAGCCGCTGCAGCGTCCGATTTCGATAAAACCTGCAGCATAATAACGCCCCAACACGTATTTTGTGTCAAATCTGATCGCTTTGCCGACCCACGGTCTCAAGTGCTGCCGAGGGGGGTGCGAAAAGACGGCCGATCAGTTACCATGTCTACGGGATTGCGCCAACAGCAGAGGCCCCCAAAAGAGGCCAAGAAAGGCGTGTCTAGCGTTATAAAATATCTCACTTCTCGTATATCGCGATGGCAACCGGGACCTAGTGGACAAACCTGATAGGATCCTGAAAGACAGCTGAGGCTACCCAAACATTGTGCTATGATATGGCACAAGATTCTTCCGGCGAGATTTGTGCTGTGCGTAATTATTCACAGAATATCTATAGAGAGCACTGTCATAATTTGTCACAAACTGGGAGGTGAGTGTATAGTTCCCTTTGTTCCTTTTTCCTCTCCCTTAGTTCAGCCTATCAAACAGGGGTACAACGATGGGGTGCTTTTTTTTTTTTTATCTCGTCTGATCTCCTCCCCTCATTCGGACTTTTCTTTTTTCTCTTTTTGCGTTTCAAAGAAACAAGCTGAGTATTGAGTTTCTGGGCAGTTTCACGCCTTGCTGCATCGCTTGCCGCTTGAATGTCAATGACAATGAAATGCTAGCACTTTGTACAACCACGCAAGACTCTTACCGCCTCAAGCCGGCCGATTTTGTGTGGGCCTACGGCGCCGAGACCCCACCCTCTCCTGTCGGGTGTGACACTGACACCGTGACTCTACTGGACAGAACTCCTCGAAGAAATCTACGCTGGAAACTGGTACCGCAAAACAATTGTGATTTTGTGAGATAAAAGGCAAATGCTGCCTTGATCTAGACGCGAAATTATGTTTACAGAGCAGCGACTTGGGCGAGACACGGTTCGAATTGGTTGCCAGCCTTGACCGATGGCGCCTCCCGCCCTAGTTCGTCCTCCTTGTCTCAACAGACAGCCATTCACATCGCGCACCAGGAAAGAGGGAGAAGCCCTGACCAAAAAACGAAACGAAACGAAACTTAGCGTCCCCCAGCCTGGAAAATCACATCATTCATCAGCAACACTTACATAATAAAAAGAAAAAGAAAATAAAGAAAGAAGCACCCTCTGGTGTCTTCCCAACATGGGTCCACCTGCATGGAGAGACACTGACCGGCAGAAAGGGAAGCAAATCCCGTGTCTCAGATAGCAGTGACCATAATGGATTCTTTCTTTACTACAAAATACGGAGAACAACCGATTACCTGCTTTCTCGCCCGTCGTCGTGGGCCATGGAACAGTCTAAAGGAAAATTGGATCTCGGTGACCCAGGACCAATTGGCTATTGCTGCTGCTGCTCTGCCCTGAATCTTATGAATTTATTTTTTCCTGATGATCTTATTCTACGTTAAACGTCATTCGCGACCAAACAGCAACTGAAGCAGTGACCAGTCCGGATATTATCAGCTGAGCGCTACAAAAGGGATTCTTGTCCTCCTTTGGCTCTTTTAGGAGGGTTCCGCCTCAAACTCGTATCGCCCCATCAATGTGTATACAGCTTTACCTTTGACCGGCTTATAGCTGATTTCTAAGGTCTGTGGATCAGTCATGATCGGGGGGGGGCGAAGAACAGCACAGCTTTTCCCTTCAAAGTACTCCATTCGCCGACCTCACAGATGGGGTATGCCACCCTCCCCACCACCTTCTATGCCATTTTTTTCACTTTTAATACATTGTATCACAATGTTCAAAACCCTACAAGTAATTGGAAAGTCAAAAAATGGTACGGAGTCTCTGGTTTCCTTTACCCCTTGCTCATAAGTCTTGCCCTGCAGCCCAGTAGAGCGCCGATGCTCCACTCAAAAGCGGCAACGGGAAGCAAGGGGGAAGTTAGCACCCATCGGATGGCGATTGAGATGGCTGCTCTCCCAGAAAACTGAAGGGAGCTGCCTCAAGCTGGGGTTCTTATTATGAAGATGGCAGCATCCCTCTTCGTCTTGTGTTCCCTGAGATCTCGATGGCATTTCATTCATTCACGTCATAGACTTCAGCAGCCACAAGACCATGATTATTCGAAGATCATCGCTCGCTATTATAGCGACCACCGTTGCTGTATCCGCGGCCACAATTCTACCTATCAGCACAGGCCAGCAACATGACACCAATTTGCTGAGCTCTCGTGTCAATCCACACCCCGATTCGATTCATCTGCCTCTGTGTGCTGTGAGTAACCCCGATGCTTACTATCCAAATCAAATCGCCTTTGATGCTGCAAAGGCTAACTCGGCTCCAACCACTTGAAGCTGAATTGCTTCACTGCTACCTGTTCAGGGCTTGATTTATCATGTATATGCAAGAGCTTGGCTCAACAGTCTCAAAGTTTCTCCTGCTTTCAGGCATCATGCAACTTCTCCGAGAGCCTAAGTACGTGTGTTGTCTTGCCCATAAACATCAGGGCCTCCTTTCTGCACTTCTTCGTGGTTCAATGAAGGCTTACAGTGGATAAAAGCTACCATGAATCTCACACAAACGGTGTGCGGTACCCCAGCGCGGGACCGATCTGGTCAGTTCAAGACGATGAATCTTGCTTTTAGCGCTGTAACTCTTATGATAGCGGGTATCCGCTTCATATCCAAATATCTCTTCAGCATCAGGCAGGGTTTTGGACCTGATGATTGGACCTTGCTGGCAGCAGGATTTATCGGCATTCCTTGCATCGCGTTCAACATTTTAGGACTGAGTAGCCATGGTTTGGGGAAAGATATCTGGACATTAACTCCAGGTGACGCTGCCTCTTTCGCTCGGTGGTTCCTAGCCATGGAAGTTCTCTACGTGGTCATTATGACCATTGTGAAGATCAGTTTATCGCTCTTTTATCTTGACTTGTTTCCGGGGACGAACTTCCGCAGAGTGGTTTGGGGTACCATCATATTCAATATCGCTTCTGGTCTCAGCTTTGTTATTGGAAGCCTCGTACAGTGCGTACCAATGAGCTTGACGTGGGAGCAATTTAGCGATTCTTCACACGGGCACTGCATCGACATGAATTCGTTCGGGTGGGCAAACGCAGCTGTCAATGTTGCAACGGATCTATGGCTTATAGTCATTCCTCTATTCCAGTTATACAAGCTCGACACTCAGTGGAGAAGGAAGCTAAGTGCTGCTATCATGTTTATGACGGGAGTGATGTGCGACCAGTCTTTCCCCCGCCTAAATAAGCCATATACTAACTTTGTATCATCAGAGCGACCATTGTTTCCCTCCTCAGATTCCAGTCGCTAGTCCACTTCGCCAACACGGCGAACCCAACCTGGGACCACTGGAGCATCGCCTGGTGGTCGACCATCGAAGTCAACATAAGCATTATTTGCACATGCATTCCTTCTATACGGCTGATCCTAGCGCACATATTTCCGCGCGCCATTGGCTCCAGCCTTGGGCTACCCCCCATGACAGAGGAATCTTGGATTGGCGAGAAAATGTCCAGCCCAAATCCATTGGATATAGAGCAGTTGGAACTATGCAACAATCGAAGCATAGACGGAGTTTCAAAGACAAGCGAGTCTATCCAGCGAGCCGAGGGGGTTTTAGAGATGGTGGCACATCCAGCTATTATCCAATGAACGACAGCTCATGGCTAAAAATCACAAAGATGGACATAGTGATGGGATTTCACAACATACGGCGGGAAAAAAAAAACTCTATTACGGGCAACAGCTTTCACGGGCAACAGATGCTTACAGTCGCCCATTTTCGGAAAATAAAGGTAAGGAGGGAGGAAAAGGGGCCTGCTACCGTCTGGCCGACAGAGCAGGTCCGATGTAATAACGGCTACACACACATGTCACCAACAGAGATGAGTATCAGATGTGTTTTGAATTTTACCATGGATCGTTGGTTAGAACGCAGAGGAATGAGCTAAATTGTCATACCACCATGGGGCTGCCTCGATGGAGACACTCTCTTCATCTCTTACGACCTTTTTTTTTTCTTGTATACCTTTTCTGTCATTCACCGTCACAGCTACATTTTACCCCCTTCATCATGTACAGGCGGCTTTAGAGAGAACACAAAAAAGTCATATGTCTTACTTTGCAGCATCCGGACCCTCATACCGGTCAGCGGCAAAGCCGTATCTTTCTGTCCAGTAGAACGTGAGCTTCACGAATCCGGGAGCTGACTTTGTGGTGGCTATCCACATCCCCCACAGCTCAATGCAAGGGCGAGTGAACACTGCCCAACATCACCCGCATAGCCAAGCCAGCTCAACAGTGCTCCTTGGTGGCCTATTGGATGCGGGAGGAACTGAGAGCTGGTAGGATGACAGGATCAAGCATTGGACAGGTCAGGCCGCAACCAGGCAGTCCAGCCGAGACATTCGATGTGATTGCTGCAGCTTTTCCCCGGGTATCGTACCAGTCATATGCCTACACATGACAACGCACCGCAGACGCGGCTGAGCTGCAGTTCCATGACCGCGTCCTTGAGGTTTCAGCTTGATGCCGCTCCGTGCTATTGTCGTTGCTAGTGCTCCGTGCCGGTGGTCGTCTTGTCAACGCTACTGCGGGCTAAGGCAGGTCTTGAGCCGGAACCTAGGAGGAAGCCCCCGTCAAAGCTAGAATAGTAGATGGTGGACACCTCCCGATATCACGGCTGCCCGACCCGACAGGGACGCTCCAAGTACGCACACACTTGCATCAGGACATGCGCACCATGCACACATTTTGCTATATGGCGCCCAATAGACGATGCAGCTTCAAAGTGCTGATTCTGACACCAACAAATGCAAGACCTTGAGCCACATATTGGTGGTAATCCGGTCAGCCTGTACCAGTGAAAGAGAGTGAATGAGTAAAGGGGCTTCCAACTACTAACAAAGAAAGTTCGCCCCCCTTACATTGAAGGCTGCCATGACACACCCGAACGGACTTACATAATCAGAAACAGCTCTAGTACCAGCTGGGAAAGGTGCCAGACTGGCAGCTTCCACACGACGCGCCATCCACGACAAGGGAAAGGACCGGCTCAGCCGCAATGACATGTGCTTGTTATTGCAAGTGCGTCAACGCTGTGCTGTGCACTCTACACTGAACTGGACCATCATCACCACAGGCCTCCTCCGTGCCCTCACATCCCCCCCCCCCCCCCCAGCATCGCATCAGACGGCAAACACGCCGCTGTTGCACCGCTTTCCGGCCTCTTCTCTCCCCAACACGCCTGATTGCCCCTCCATCTGTGCGGAATTCCTTCATTTGAGTGATGCAATAATCTCGTCTTTCGCTTCTCCTGCACTCCTTCTACTGACTGATTCGTTACTGTCTCTCCATTTTCTCGCTTCTCGCCTCTCCCTTCTCCAGCCAACTCGGAGCGCCTGCATCGTCGCCAATCGTCCGTCTTCTTCTTGCCTCGTGTCTCGCTTGGTCCTCTTTTCCTGTGCCACCCTTGTACCAAGAGCTTGTGAAACATCAGCACCGCTCTAGTCCCGAGCCTACATCATCAGGAGCAAGGCTGAGCATCCCGCTGTCACCGCCACAGACGAAAGGACAGCTTCCAGAACGGCACATACCTATCGACGGGCCACGCTTTATTATACGTATCGTTTTAATCTCATCGAAAAAAGGAGACAGTTTCTCGAGGTATCCGCTGCTTTACCATGCGTGGATACCGCTCCGGGACGACGGGCTACGAACGCCTGGCACAGGCAGATCTCAGCGACGATTCCGACACCGACCTTCTTGCCGAATCGACCGCATCTCTCCAACCCTTATCCGCACCACCATATACTCCTATATCTCAGCCTCGCCACCGCTCGAGCGTTACCAGCCCCAAGCTTGGTCCCTCAAGGCCCAAGTTTCGTCGCCGTCTGGGGAGCAATGGTGGCGTGGACATCAAGGCTATCAATGCCCGACTTGAACGATGGGCCGAAGAAATTGCGGCCAAGTTCAAGCGCAAGGGTAGACATAGCTTAGGAGAGGAAGAGCGGCTAGAGATTCATCACTCCGTCTTTCAGCCCCCGGAGGGCGTACGACCAATATCTGCCGAGGCTCTCGCCGAGCCGCAGGTCACTAGCATGACCAAGGCACAGTTCGATGCTGTCATCGAAAGCGTGCGGCAAGCAATTCGACAGGAAGTTCATCCCAGTATGATCTCGCAAGGAAGCTCTGGCAGCTACTTTGCTCGCAATCCGGATGGAAAGATTGTCGGCGTGTTTAAGCCCAAGGACGAGGAGCCATACGCAGCAGGAAACCCCAAATGGAACAAATGGATACATCGCAATTTGTTTCCTTGCTTCTTTGGGCGAGCTTGGTAAGTCTAATTCACCACGGAAACACGGTACACTGCTTCAAATACTGACGGTGCCCCTTTTAAAATGACAGCCTTATCCCCAATCTCTCATATGTTAGCGAGGCGGCAGCCTATGTGCTCGATCATCAACTACGGACGCATTTAGTTCCATATACTGATGTGGTGTGGCTGTCATCCAAGTCTTTCCATTATCCCTATTGGGACCGGCGAAGTTTTCAGAAAAAGAAGAAGCCTCTTCCTGCTAAACCCGGCAGTTTCCAAGTCTTCCTCAAGGGGTTTAAGGATGCCAATGTCTTTCTACGAGAGAATCCTTGGCCGGATCAGTATTGGGCAGGCTTTCGCTCAAACGAAGCCAATCGACAAAAGAAGAAGCGCTGGGCCGATAACTGTCGGCCTTCTGCTTCTGCATCCGCCGATGATGCAGCCTCCAGTGATGAGGAAGAGGGCCAGCATGGCGATGAACGAGGAGACGCATCCCCAGCACCCAACAAATTCGTATGGACGGAAAAGTTGAAGCAGTCTTTCCGAGAAGAACTGGAGAAACTCGTTATTCTAGACTACATCATGAGGAATACCGATCGTGGCCTCGACAACTGGATGGTCAAAGTGGACTGGGAGACGAACACGGTATCGCTGGCGTCAGATCCTATCCAAATTAACATGGAACCCGTTACGGAGGAAGATGAAGAAGAGGCCAATGTTAGACCAATAGATGCCTCAGAGATGCCACCTCAACCTACCCGAGCATCGTATCCCTACAAGCGCCAGAAGCCGATGAAGGCGTCTTCTCCCCGCAGAAAACCCGAACCAAATATGTCAATCGGCGCCATTGACAACTCGCTCTCGTGGCCATGGAAGCATCCAGATGCTTGGCGAAGGTGAGTCGTTTCCCAAGTGCAGATATTCCATCTATACCAAGGGCTCGTGATGAAGCGTCATATCTAACAGATTGTGAAATTTTTAGTTTCCCCTTTGGCTGGCTATTCCTTCCTGTCGACCTCATCGGCCGACCATTCTCGCAAAAGACACGAGACCACTTCCTACCGCTTCTCACATCAACAGCATGGTGGAGCGAGACACAAATGGCCCTTAAAAAGGTCTTTCAAATGGACGAAGACTTCAAGGAGCGCATGTTTGCCAAGCAGATTGCCGTCATGAAGGGCCAAGCCTGGAATGTGGTGGAGGCGCTCAAGACTCCTGATCATGGTCCCCTGGAGTTGACTCGCCGGGCAAAGGTCTGTGTATGGGATGATTACGTTGATGTGCCTGTTGCTGTGCCCATGAGGATGACTTCCTCGGAGATGCGCCGCAGCACCACCCAGCGGCAGTCGCTTGATGAAGCTGATATTACTGGCTTTGCCCCGACCAGCCGCGTTCCTGTTGACGATCTTCTTGGCCTTGCCTCAGCACCCGCTGAAATGCCCCGGTCTGGTAGATTCGACACGGCGAGTCCGCCTGATGATCCCTTCCTGGGCCCTGACGAGTCGTCTGGAGCTCCTGTGCCAACCAGACCAACGATGGAATCTCAGTCGCAGCCCAGTAGAGGTTTCCAAGGCCCGTCCCGCGCTCTCAACATATACGAGCCCGAGCGCCATCAGCCCCAGAACCAGAATCAGAACCAAAAGCATCAGCGGCGGTACTCGTATGCCACCCCTGCAACGCGGCAGCACAGCAATAGTATAGCTCAGCAGCTCTATAGGGACATCTCTTACGGGGCTGATGATGACGACTTGGAAGGGGATCTCGGCTACGCCGCCGCGGAAGGACAGATGGGTCATCAACGAAAGGTCATTGTGGAGCGTCTCGAAGCTGTGAAAAGCAGGAACCCCGTTTTCACATGGTGTTAAACGTGGTAGGTCAGCACTAAAAGCGATGATCCATGTTTTGTTGCACAGGCTTTCTTATTACATCACCAAGGGGTGTTTTGGGGGCTGGAATTTGGAATTTGTACAAAAATGCATGTCTGGTGCTGACGGGTTATGGGGGGCGCTTTTCTCCTGGCATATATATCTTTCGTAATTGTGCTCTGTACGAGTACCAGGAGTCCGCAATAAGAACTGCTTTGGAATATTTTGAATCCGCTGTGTCAGCATTCTTCTCGTGTTGTATCACTTTGCCCCGAGGTGAGTTTGGTGAATTTGATGCATCCCGGCGGCTGCTATACGGGCACGTTGTTTCATTACGCGCGGTAGCCATTGCTGCGGGACGGTGTGAAACACGAGGCCCTTGTCAGAGAATTGCGGCCGCGTTTGTTCTCTCGTGTTTCGTACCTGAATGTCGGAAGTGAGAGCAGAAAGTGGATATCAGATCAGACAAGGGTGACATCCCGCACAATCAGCACGATACCTCGTCATTTGTATTTATTCCTGGAACCACGGGGTCGGTCAATGTATGCTTTGTAATGGCCAAAGTGAGACTGAATCAAATCGTCACTGTTATCCTTGTATCAATTTCGATCGCCGATTACCATTCCCGGGGACCTGTGGTACACTTGCTGATTCTGCCCTGGCCATGGGAGATTTCCAAAGTTTCGCAAGAGCTTACAGAACGCGTATGCCATTTCCGCACAGATGTCATAATGCTTAGTTGCCTGCAGGCGTCTTCAGAAAATGGGTTGACATGGGTGATCAGAGGCAAACACGACGGGCAACACCGCTCCTGTCAAAAGCCCATACCCCATAGTTCATCGGCCACTATTGGCCAACAGGGGAAAGCCCATCAGCTTTGTTTAGTCACCGACTCTATCCAGGTATGGGCACCAGATTAGATTATAACGGGAAGAGGTAAGGATACGACCGCGGGTGGCGGAGCAGTCGGAGTCATAAGCGCAATCTATCGTGTTATGAGCTCTGCGCACCAAAATTGTGTGAAGCAATTCTGGAGTACAGTGTAATCAATGAGGTATTTTAGTGCCGTTTTCAGTCCGGTTAAATTGTTACTCGTTGGTAATGGGAAAGACGAATCCAGCCGTCAGATCCAGGCACGGAGGTCGGCCCCGGTGTCGTCTCCGTGTGCTTATGAAACTCCATTTTCCGTCCGTTCGCAGGCTTCAGCGGCCGCATCACGGGCAGGGCTTCGTGAACTTTTGGCATAGCCAACAGTAGTTGATAAACCCTGGTGAGTTGCCCGAGTGTAGTGAGAAACAAACCACGACCGTTGGTATTAATACTAGTTGCCCAGCTTCAAGTTCACCGCTTCCGTAAAGCGAAAAGAAGGGGAAGAGAGAAGAAGACGATCCCGACATTCTGGTTCAACGTCCCGACAACTCGGGTCGGCAAAAAGGGGCTAGGACAGGGACACCCCTGCCACAGTTCCGCCCACGGCTCCATACATTCGCAACCAAAGCTAATGTCAGAAGCGGTCCGCAGCGTTCAGGGGACATGAATCATGCCCTATTACTTTCTTTGAAGAGCTAGCATTGCCCTCTATTTTCCCCTCTTGTTGCCCAATTGCTGTCAAACACGGCTGTTCGGTCGATAAGGCTGGCTGCTGCAGGAGGCTTCTTATGCGGAAGAACAGCTGACCAGGATGAAACAAGGCGAAAAGAGAGGGTGTTAAGTCGATCACTGCCCATTGTGAAAACAATTAATTGGTGTTGCTTAAACCATCTTTCTGCTCATTTCGCAGCAGCAAACTAGCATGCGTAGAGAACAAAGTAACAGTTTCTTCTGTTTCGAGCCAAGTTGTTGATAGCCCGGCTACAACGTTTGATATGTGGCGTAAATCCATTGTGTCAAATTATATGATGCCAGACATAGCTGACGAATAGTAGATTTCCTGATCAGGGCATCATTTGATGGATCCGCTTGTACAAATTCAATGGCGGTATCCATGGAATTATGTGTGCATGGCCGCGATAACCTGGTCAAATCCGCTCTTTGTCGGCCTGTGCAACGCTTGTTTGACATGCCTCCTCCCTGTAGCCCCATGGAGGAGTATGTAAACCAGCATCTCTCATGCCCATCATACGTAACGTCTGCGGGCTTTCCGGGCCTAGGACGAGCTCGAACTCAACATGGGCACGGCAAAAAGGCTAAGCTGAGACAGAGTGGATTCACAGCTAATACACAAAGACCACAAAGACCGGCCGTATTCATCACAGTCTCCCTTTTTCTTTCTTTTGGCTAAAAGATCGGCTTCCCTGAACTCTCACTAGTCGACTACGCAGCCCGTATTTGTACGACATATGTGGCGTCTGGCTGTCGCTGTCCTAGCCTGTCGTGACATGGGGGCCAGGGCAGCCCCGGCCATTGTTGAGCCCCTCATGCCTGCTGAGCTCAGTGGCATCTGCTGCATCTGCTGCCCAGCGCTGATTCAGAATTTCCAGGATATGTCGTGTTAATGCCGCTCTGGGCAGTCGTGCTCCACGGGCCTGGACGTGTGCACAGCCGACAATTTCCCCTCTACATGGGATGGCCGCGCATCCCTTTTGCATCCTTTCCGGAGCAAAACAGCAGTTGTGTTCGCAGAGGTAAGCCAATAAGCCGCGGCTCTGCACCCGAAGTTCCATGTGGCTCGTCAACCGGTGGGACATCTGGTCCCGTCGCCAATCGCTAGCGGATGACAACTGTTCAGATGCAAAAAGCAAAAAAAAGAAAGAAAAAAAAAAAAAAGAAGAAGCTTGCTTATCTGGCAAACTCCACCCCTTGCTTCTCGTCTGGCCCAACTCTTACCAACACGATCTGCGGTCGCTTCAGATGGCCTCGCTGGATCAAGATCCCGAGCCTGGGAGCCCAAAGGATGGTGCCAACGTGGCAATGGCCTTTGGAGGTTTCAGCAAGGCTAAAGTTGGCGTGTCATGAGCGGTGAGAAGCTGCCGGTTGAGGGGAGCCGCTGTCATTGCAACGCTCGACAAAGGCTTGCCCGCAGTTACATATGCGCGTGGTGACTATTCAGGCGAACTCGCTGTCACACTTCGGCTTGGCCCATCAGCAAGCAATTGTCATGGCCGTCATTTTGTGGACCGGTACCATAAAAAGTCAAGCCCCCTTTCCGGGAGCCCGTCGTGTCTTTTTGTTTTGGTGACTGATTGTCCGGTACAAGCACTGCTAGCACATGCATATGGACAAGTAGACAAGTAGGTGGGCATGTGCTACCCTACCTCCCCTGCCCTCTCACCAAGCTGTCGGTTTTACCAAGCGGGAGAACTCCGTACGGAGCGCTTGGAACTTTCAACACACACCAATAAAAAGAGTATGAGAGAGAGAGAAGTAGTTTCTTCTCCGCTTCGGAGCAAAGAGTGCTAGTATACCAGTTGATGTTTCGCCCAACCAATCACTATTGAAAACAGACGAACGACTCGGATTAAAAAAAAATTAGGCGTTATGAGTTCCATGCTAAGAACAAAACATGAGTAGCAGTAATAGCAAGTCCTTTAGTTATCATTTTGGTATCAGAATGATATCCCTTAATGAGGAAAGCCCGTGGTGTCGTGGAACAGAATCTAGAACGTTTCGTCTGAAGGCGTACTAACCGAGGGCGAGAACAAGAAGAAAAAAGAATTGGATGGTTTGTTTGATCGCTGCCCAAGGGATGGAATACAGTAGCTCTTACCATGTTGAGCTACCGGCATTGGTCGCCACAATCTTGCAGTATTCCTAGGTAGGGAGCCAGCTGTATGTAGTAGCACAATGTACTTTGTACTCCGTAATTTTTATCGAGACGATGGAGTGGCATTTGCATCTACCAGGATTTAGGATAGCGTCGATGATGGTCCTTGATCCATGATCCATGATCCACGGCCTGTCGAGCATCCATGAAATGTGGATAGATGGGTAAGACGCCTTCTTTTCGAGTGGTTATTGTTCCACAGCTCTTTGGAAGGGATGGGCTTAGATAGACGTAGATGTGCGCCCCGAGATGTACTAGTACCACAACTCTTGTTGCTAGTTGTTACCCGTATGATAGCATTATTAGTAGTAGTAGCCGTACTCCGTACCGCTACCCTGACGCCTCCCGCTCCGCCAACAAGGTGTGCACGTCCTCCCAGCTTTCCAGCATAAGCGGTAAGAGGCTTCTGGGTTTCAGGTACAGATTTGGTAATTCCCTGGTAGTATAATTGGAACGGAACGACGCTCCTTGAAGTCTCGCCTATTCTCAGCATGCGAGGGTCAGATTTCTGCCTTGCCACGCCTCGTCAAAAGCATCTAGACTCCGATATGCTTGTACACGGCGGTTCGGTACTGCAGCAGGCTTGGGCAGCGAGGCAGTTGTCCCGTTGCGCTGGCACCAGCAAGCAAGATCCAGTGGAAATGTCGCAACTCCCACTTAGGCCGTGATGTTATATGCAGCCCCAGAGTCCTAGACATTCTCAGCCAGCCTCCCCGTACGTCATTTGCAGATACGCTAGCTTAACCTTGACGCTTCTGCATTGTACCCCTGACAGACCTAGGCCTCCAGGAATGAGGTAGCACAAACTGTTGGTGAGCGCTCTCGTGTGCTGCTCACGCAGGAAGGATCGGCAGCTGCTCTGAGAGAGAGAGACGCAAAAAGGCTTCAGCTGGTTAATGCAGGCAGATGCAATATACCTGCTCCACTGTTTCCGGTCAAGGAGAAGGGACACGTCTTTCTCCCTCTCTCCAAATGGTCAGTTTGGTCACGATACCAGTATGCCTAATGCCTCTTTTAGTCCGACTACGACACTGTAGGAGCCTTCCCGGTGCAAGAGGGGCTCTTTCAACGCCCGGACTGGGGCCACGCTTTCGTGTACCACATGACTCCTTAAGCCTGAACAGCGTCTCATCGAAGACCATATGGTGATTGTATCAGTCGATCCGGCATATAGCACCATACAAAAGACGGTCGAATACCAGCCAATCTATTGTCTCCAACAGCAAGCGCGGATCGTATCTCCAAATCGAACTGCCTTCTCGTCGAACAAAAGAAAAGATAAAAATATAAAAAAAACCCCGGAAGGAGAAAAGGATAATCCGTGGACAGAAAATGGACGCAGAGTACGAGATGGCCCTAGGCAGCAGGCTTCAACGGTCAAAACGGCCGCTAACACCTCTTGGTAGGGATGGCACCGTTCCTCTTGACGAGACTTATGCAGAGACGGTCAACCACTACGGTCGAATCTTCCAGCAGCATGCTTTGGCCAGCAAGACATACTTTGCGCCGATCGATGAAGTATGTTGTTCGGTATCCAACACTAATCCATACTTGGCCCTCGTTCCCTAACAGGGTGGTGAAATAGGAAGAAATAGCGCGATTGGGAGAAATGCACTCTATGCTCGGCACCGTTTTCGATAACAGATTGATATTCCCCCCCGTCAGCAAGCCTGGGAAAATACTCGAATGCGGATTTGGAGCAGCAGATTGGGCTGTCGATGTTGCTGAACATTATCCAGATGCAGAGGTGCGTGCTCAAGTCTGCTATTTTGACCCATTTCTGTGAGGGGGGCAGCGAGCCCAAGGCTGGAAACATCGACTGCAACGTCAAGGTGAAAAAAAAAACCAAAACATCTTCCTTGTCTGATTGAATTTCCTTCGCATGTTACTGGGTGCGTTGTTGATGACGTGAAGGTCGAAGGCTGTGTCTCGGAGGGATATCGTCACGCGGCTGTCATGGTTGATTATGTAGAACATTGCAGATGCGTCGAATACCCTCAATCGTCAGGTCATCTGCCCAACCATGGGTAGATAATCTTTGGAGAGAACGTTCACATCGATAGTAGAGGTGAGCTAACAGAATAGCAGGTCGTGGGATTGGACATCAGCCCGCATATGATTCCTGAAGTGCTGCCCGATAATCTGGACCTTCAGGTCGACGATCTGAATGGAGAGTGAGTAATGTTTTATGTTCCCACCTCTACCTCTTTTTTGGCAGCCAAGAAATCATCAGCTGAAGACTCTGTAATGTCTTAGGTTCACGTTTCCATCCAATTACTTCGATGTCGTACACAGCCAGATGATGGCAGGCGGAATCCATGCAACACGTTGGCCAAGCTATCTGCGGGACATGTACCGCGTCCTTCAACCAGGTGGCTGGTGTCAACTGGTCGAGATATATTTCAATGCTCAGTCGGACAATGGGACGCTGTCGGCAGGTGTGTAGGCCCATTGCCAGGCTGCAGATGAGCTATGCTTGCTGAACCAAGTAGACCACGCACTTTCGAGATGGTCAAGCGGATACCTTGACGCGATGCATCCTCAAAAGGACCCACGAGCGGCCCTGCGTCTTAAGGAATGGATGAGGAGTGCAGGCTTCACGGACATTGAATCGCGCCTTCTGACACTTCCCATGTGTCCATGGCCAACTGGTATGTCAATGATAGAAACTGCCCAGATCGCTGAGAGGCAGCAAGAGAGCAGGATTTGACATGACTGGCTGCAGATCCCCGCGACAAGCAAATTGGTGCCTTGAACGTCAGCAACGTGAGTCAGTTGCTCTATTCAACGGGCCTGTATCCATTCACACAGATGCGAGGGTGAGTCCCGCCGCTGCTTTCTCCTGACGAAGGCGTCAATGCCAACTAGACGTAAAGGGTCAAATGTTGACATCATTTTGGGGGACTGCAGTATGCCAGCGGAGGACTTTCAGCTCTTGGTGGCTCAAGCGAGAAATGAGGCCAACAATCCTTCATACAGGGTGAGAAAATTTCCAACCTCAGGCGTCTCTACTAGGAGCAATTTGGCTGACCGAGAACTCGGCAAATCGCGCGCAGGCCTATTTCCCTCTGTAAGTCAAAATCAAACGTTCCTCGACGCCGAGATGCGGGACGCTGGCGGCTTACCCATGACAAATGCAGATATGTGTTTATCGGACGAAAACCGCACCCATGATAGATTGACCAGGGCTATGGTCACACTGTGCGATTGGCGAATGAGGGATGGATCAGGAACCCAGCACGGCTGGAGGCGAGTGCCTGGTTTGGGGCAGACATCAAGATGGGAAAGGCTCCATAACCAGGGATCCATGCCGGGAGAGGCATGCAATGCGTCTTGAGGGACAGGATGTTTCAACGCTAATCATCGAAGCCAGGACGGCTGCGGATTCATCGATGACTAGTACGGACGATGGAGAATGGAAGAGATGGTGGAAAGTTGCAAGGGAGAAATGGAGATGCGAAAATTATAAAATTGGGAGAAAGAAAAAGAAGACGAGGGTGAGGGAATGGAAAGGGGAGAGGGAGATTGACGAGGCGGTTGAAAGAAGGTTTTGAGGGGTGGATCTGGGGAAGGAAGGTGGCGCCTTAGCATCTGGTTCCTGCCTCAGCAATAAGCGTCAGATCTTTCTCCGCCCGTCGGCAGGCACTGACTTACCATTAAGGCAGCTGCGCCTATGTGTGCATGAATCAGTCTGTGTGCCTTTCCAGGGGCCTGCAACGGAGCTTTGTTGGTTGGGAGGGCAAAAGAACAGCATCTCATCTGTCAACTTACCCAGGTAACGCATGGGGGATGGGAATCTTTGACCAGATCAATCAACGTCTTTTACTACCTGCTGCTCTATTGCTCCCAGCTTCCAACAGGTGAAATCGTATCCGTGGATCTTTATTCAGGGTGCGTCGGTCGTGCTGTGTGCTGTACACATCTTTGGACAGCTGAATGTGTCCGTTGAGAAGTTGCAGGTAACAGCTGCCCAGGATCCTGGTTCGGTCCAGGGCTTCTTTTTTCCTTATCTGCAACTGTCATCTTCTGGTGCTACTGATAATCTTTCACCTAGGTGATTGGTGATTGTACCAATCTATGAATTTCCCTGTGCCCACCTAGGTAGGTATTTCACATGTCTCATCAAAGGATCAAAGGGAACACTGACTGCCGGGGTATTGCACAGCTCGATGCCATTTTCAAATCCGTTTCTGTTTTTTTCCAAAGTTCTGCTTCAAAGCTGACCCGAAGAAATACGCACACGGGAGGGAGGGAGGGGAAAGAAAAGGCACGCGTTGTTTTGGCGTTGACCCTACCAATTCAGGGGCCCAGAAAGCGAGGATATGATACAATACGCACGGCAGGACAACACCCGTCTACAGACTATGGATACGGTTCTATCACCGTAAAACCTGCCAATCCCATTCTTCACCAGGCCGGTTTCAGTTTAACCTCGCTACCAATGCCGCGGGATTCATCAGACGCGAGCACCTGGGAGCGAGTAGGAAGCGAAGCCGCTGTTGGTCAAGCATCCGAACCAGGAGCGGCAAGCGACAACTCAAGCACGATATCCCAGGGCGAGCACGTCCGTTTCCTGAATCCACTCGTGCGCAACATTTCTCCTTTGGGAGGGGCGTCAGGCCGCAAAGAGGGCCTTGGTCTGTCAGGTATGTCTGGAGTGTGTTTCGTGCTGCTCCGGGCTCTTTTCTGGAGCAGCATACGCATTCATGCCTAACAAGCTGCAGGCAGACCAACGCAGCAAGGCACGATTTTGGACAAGTACCGCCTCAGCACGGCACACGAACTAGGTAGCACTGCTAGCATTGCCAGGGACTCCGTGCTCTAAGTTGCAAGGGGGTTAGCAGCAGCACGAAAATTAGTTCGGCCTCGCCATATTTTCCTGCCAGAGATCTCCCTTGGGCAGGTCGCAATGACTACAGCGCCGATTGGAATCCTCTCAGAGTCGACCAAAGGCCAAGACGCCACTCTTGACGGGGCTGAGGGTGGCAGGAGTAGGTTTCATGGGCACTGATGATGTGGTTAGAATACCACCTTACTTGTACATGCAGGGTCATCATCCTACCAGGTCCACAGCCAGGGACTTTATGCAGATAATATGCCCTGTAACGTTATGTATACAGACCAGACTGTCAGGGCCGCAGGAGGATTTCGATCCAATGGAAGCCAACTGTTGTGTCCGGGGCAGTTCTTCTCTCCGATCGAAAGCCCCCTTGATCATGTGCCAATCGAGTTGCTAGTGGTAACTTGGCGTTGCATTGGCAATAAATTAAATCTGGACAGGGCAGATCCTAAGCGCGGAAGCCGATGTTCACCAACGCCAAGGCATGTGCAGAGGTGGGAACGGACAAGTGTAATTGTACGATACAGCATACGGCTGCTTACTATCGGCTTGCCAAATATGCTTGCTGGTGAGTTGTATGCCTTGGCCTCGATGGTTCTACTGTAAGTTGCTTTTTTGGACGGACTTGGCTGTAAATTATTGAGGGGGGCCCATTGATCGAGCCTACCCTGTAGCTTCAGACTAAATCGAGCAAGCTCTATTTTTTAGCACCATTGGCAAGCTCCCCTCATGCTTGTATTGATTCATTTCTCTGTCAATTCCATCACCCGCTTTTGCCTCTTTCACGATTCCCTTCTCCCAGCAGTAACCCAATGGCAGCCTTAAAGTCATCAATGCCTCTTCTGGCAGCCCTTCGATGCTCGCGACAAGCTCCGCTGCGTTTCTCACGGACGCAATGCCTCGCCAAGTCGCCTCGATTCTACTCAGCAGACGCTGACGCTCCTCCGCCATTACTCCAAAAGCTGAAAGGCGACCTCAAGACGGCCATGCGAGCCAAAGATGCCCCCAGGCTATCCGTGCTTCGAGCCATCATGTCCGCGAACCTCAATGCCTCCAAGACGACCTCCCCGATCCGCACCGATGTCCAGCTGGTCGCCCTGATCCGAAAGCTCCAGAAGAGCGCACAGGATGCCGTCGCGGATGCTCAGGCAGCGGGGCGAGACGACTTGGTACAGAAGGAGAATGAGCAAATCTCCATCTTGGACGAGTACATTGCAGGGAGCGGCGTCCAGACTCTGGGAGAGGCTGAGATCAAGGCTCTGATCAGCCAAGCCATTGAAGCTGTCAATGCTGCTGGCAAGGGAGGCAAGTCTCTCATGGGAGAGGTGATGAAGCGCGTCAACGCTGCTTTGGAAGGCAAAGATGTGGACAAGAAGTCGGTTGCGGCATTGGTCAAGGAGCTGACCAGCCAGTAAGAAAATGCGGATATAAACCCGTCTGTGTATTTCTATGTACAATAGCAATGTCAACGATAACGATGGGAAGGATAGTGAAGGTTTGAAAAAAGGAATACACTTGTAAATTAAAAACGGAATCATCCTCTCAACTGTTTTATGGGTATCGGGAATAGAAAATTGGAATACAACATGTGAATAGCGAGACCGAAAAATAAACTGATAGTTCACAGTGACATATCAACAGAGGTTGGAGAGCGTAGTAAATTCTAGCCACCGAATGGTATAAAGTTAAGGATGCCTCTTTTCGCTCTGTATCCTAAAAATGCGTAATGATTATCAGAAAAGGAATGAAAGCATTTGAGAAGCATGCGACGATATTTTATTTCACATCGACAAAACGATGCGGAACTTATATATTCGTCCGGTCCGGAAGACTATCCATCTTTGGGGCTAAGCTATCGACGCCAGCCTCACGTGGCGGGCTGTATGGAGGAGTCACAAAGGGCGTACAGGTCGGGAAATCTACAGTATATAATGCTATGAGTCACGCCTAACCATCTCGGATTAAAAGACAGGACATTCTATCATTTTTAATTTGCAAACTACTGTATAATTCATTCTTTCTTTTGCTGCCTCTCTATAACTCATTTACCGCCTACATACAATGCCTCGAGAGCTCATTTCCTCCGGGTCCAAGTTTGAGGGCGAAATTGGTTACTCCCGAGCTGTCGTCGTCGACGACTTTGTATTTGTATCGGGAACCACTGGGTACGATGCATCGCTTTGACGGTTCATGTTCGCAGCTCTTTAAAGTAACTTGAAAAATAACCAATGATCGCTTGCAGTTACGACTATGCTACTGGCGAAATCTCTGAGGATGTCGTCCAACAGACTGAACAGACAATGATCAATATTGACAAGGCCCTGAAGGACGCCGGCTCCTCCGTGTCCGAAGTTGTTCGTGTACGCTATATTCTTCCAGATCGTTCCCAGTTCCCTCTCGTTTGGCCGGTGTTGAGAAAGTGGTTTGGCAATGTACGGCCGGCGGCGACAATGGTGCAGAGTTCCCTCATGGTTGATGAGATGAAGATTGAAATCGAAGTGACAGCAAAGAAGGGATCGAGTAATGATGTATCTAGTTCCGCATAGGAGAATCTTGTCGTCGTCTTCGTCTTCGAGGGTTTTGTCTAGAAAATAAATGGGTGGAACTTAATAGGCCAAAGGCGCAACAACGGTCCCGCCAACAAATGCGCATGCAATTGTAATCATGCTAGACAGCGATAGCAGTGACATGCCGCTGATGCCATGCCCAGATGTGCAGCCGCCGGCCATTCGCGATCCAATGGCCATAAGCGCACCTCCGGCCATTGCATACAACGGTGGTGCCTCAAACACAGGAGCGTTGGCCAGTGAAGGCACAGCCTGAAGCAATCCCCAAGCCCCCGCCGTCACACCGCTGGCGAAGAGAATGCTGTTATATGACATGGGTTTCGTATTGGGTTCTGCGCCTTTAATCACCCACCAGAAGTAGTTTCCGAACTCTTCATAGGCGGTAGAGATGCCTATCATGGACCTTCTGGTGATGATTGAGAAGACCTGTGAGAGGCCAATGATGAATCCGCCTGCTGTGCCGAGGACCTTGGCTCCAGGGAACTTGGGAGTATAGATTGTCGTTACGGCGAGGATTGAGAGACATACAGCCTCGAAGAGAAACAAAGTGACACCTCTACTTAGACCAAGTTGGTCGTTTGCAGTCACTGTTATCGGAGTAACGTTTGCTTTTTCTTTGTTTTGCTTGACCATCTTGGAAAGAAGCCCAGTCCACAAGAGGCCACCGAGTATGGCTCCGTTCAGGGCATGGAAGCCGGTATGGACACCAGCTGCCAGTTGAGGATACAGAGTTCCTGGGCACGAGCCTGACAAGGCCATACCGGCACCGAGGAGAGTGCCGCCGATGAGGTTGCCGTCGTATCTAGAGAAGAGACCTATCGGTGAGGAACTCCTGGGCTTAAGTTTCACGTAGTCGAGACGCTCTGCAATAGCATATGTGGCTCTTTGGTTACCACCGATTAGCTCTGCGTACGGGAAGCCTCATAGAGGCATTTTATGGGGTTACCCACGCGCTGGTTGCAGTTGCGGCCAGAAACGCCTGTGCCATGTGGAAGTTTTCCCACTTCATCTGGGCGATGACTATGGCAGGATTGTGAAATGAAGCAGCCATCATGGCCGCCCCAAAGGCAGCACCAGATAGGAACGTCGTTGCCATTGTTGAAACGCTCCAAGATGGTTTAGGATACCACAACCTAGAAGCGAAGAAAGGAAACGTCTCTTGGTAGTAGAGTTCAATAGTAAATGATGGGGCACTAGAGGTCTCAAACGGCTAGGAGATGCTATCTCAAATATAGTAAAGGTATTAATAATGATAGCAAGGTATGCAAGGAGGCTCGGGGAACGACACGTATAGCCCCTACGTTATTAGTCGTGGGCGATCATATAATCCTCGACGGGTCGTCGGGCACTACTTGGAAGACTCTGGGGAAGCCTGCACTCGGGCTTCTCACACTACGAGTGAGACTTCCATTATGAGCAAACACTCCCTTGCCATGACACCTCACAGCCTGTATCAGTCACCGGAGCCCTGATCAAGAAGGAGACGACTATACGAAAGAGTCGCCGACAAGTTTTGTTTTAGTGGACCCCCTGTCATTGGCCACGATCGCCGAGACCCCGAAATCGACGGACCGGAGGCTGGAGGCGCAATTCTCGGCGACCATGGCGTGCGTGGCGTGTACGGCGGGATTTAGCGAGGCGGGTGAGCCAGCTTAACCAGTTCAACGGTTGGAATAGTATCATTTTAATTCTTTTCAGCATGGCTTATTGCTTAAATTGCACATAGGACTCAGCTCGCTAGCCGTTGGACCCCGGTGAGAATCATGGACGGATTGGTAGAGTGGAGGCTGCATTGTTGCCTTCATCTCTATATGAATTAGACCATTATGCAGTGCGATACTGGTTAAAATTAGCCAGAGGACTCACATTGGCTCTGCGACTTGATCACAAACAATCGGTGAAAGGTCAGAGAACGCTGTGGGCGCGAGCCACACCGAGAGAAGGGTATCGCCGACATATAGAGGGAAAGGGAGATGACTGCGCTCTGCATTTCGTGTCTGCACTTGGACAATGTGTACGAGTAATGGCCATAGCACTCAAGCACGTCGGCGACCAACATGATCACTAATTTTCAACTTGGCGAAAGCTTTGACTGTAGCGGATGATCGTCTTGGGATGCCCGTAAGGGGGCCTTGTTCCCAGAGTCTGACAGAAACTAGGTACTAAATTAGCTTCAACAGGTCGGAGATTTTGTCCTAGCTCTAAGCGTCGGTGAGCATAGAAATACCCACTCGGGCTTTAACAATTGCAAATGTTAAACGCGTTGAAACATGCAGCCACTGCCACTCCAGAGGCCATGTCGGCTTCGTATCAAACGGCGTACATATATCAGCGCGGGACTCGGAGGGAAGCGGCTTGATAGGCGATGAGCACGAAGGAGAAGCTTCACTCGGGCATGGTTTGCCGTACAGAGATACGCCTATGTAGAGCATCTCCGTTAGCCGTCTGAGTTGTCTCGACGAGAGATCCTGCTCCCCGAGTGCCGACCTGAACTCAAAAGATTCAACCTCACCCTTTGGATGACGGTTCTCGGTAGTTCATATGCACTAAGGAGACGGCAGGGATACCTCGCAAGGGTCATCCTACCCGGGTTCTATCCAGAGTTTATTAGAGGCTGCATCTCCCACGGGCATGCACAGTGTATCACGGGGGACAGCATTTCCTGTGGCTCCAATTGTCAGGCTCGGGAACTAAACAAAACGTACTGCTTACCGGCTGTCAGAGAAGCGTTCCCGGAGAGCGCCGATGCCGGACGCCTCTCCGGTGAACCGAGCCGAAATGGAGGGCCCGCGGCTCTCCAGTTCCCAAAGGCGCGGGCTTTGGCCCGTTGAACCCGTCCTCTTCTTCCGGAGCGGCGGTGGTTGACTTTGTCGATCTCACGCTTCAGGAGATGTACATTCAGCCAATCACTGTAACGCAGCCTTTGATGTGTGGGGATTTGTCGATACGAGCAAAATTTCTCGTTATTCCCGGGGCTTGAATGAAGGATGCAGTATAGCTTTGCAATACGATGGAGAGATGACTTTGATGGTTTGGGGGACACGCGTTCGAGGGACAGAGGAGGAGCAGTCAACAGCTACGCCTACGAGATACAGATAACAAGGTACGTATCGCATGGAGAACCTTAGGTAATCAGTTGCCACTGTCTGCTAAGATATACGTCTTTGCAATTGTATAGTTAAAAGAAGGACGAGATTCATGGATGATCAATGCGATCCGTCTTCTTTCTGCAACTTGGGACAAGATGGTGTACGGATTTTCATGTAAGATGCCTACAGACAGGCGGAGGGTTCCAATGCAGAAATTTGAGTATGTACCCCAGGAATTGATCAATCAGAAAGTTTCTCGGCACCAATCGGCCGATGATCGCAGTTGAATTTTCAATTACCGCTCCAATCGAATATCAAGCAAGCAATAGGGACGCATAGATGAAGATTGAACTCTTCTTGATGGCTGAGGATGACAAATGCAGCGAAATTGTAACCGAGGTCAACGCGGTGAGTCGTGGCGGGGTTGATGTCATAATAGGCAATTTGCTACTGTTTAGGTGCTGGTATAAGTGAGTGAGCCCTCAAGGGGAAATTGTTCCCGCCCATTCGCCTGGCTATAAAGTTGTCAAGGTGTACACTATATGAGCACTGTATTTCTTGTGCTAGGGAGAGTCAATTGAATTTCGCGACGATTTGCTTATACCCATTAGTTTTCAAGAGAAAGAGAAGAGAGAAAGAGAAGAGAGAAAAGACTCAGTTTGAATCTCGCGCGAATAAACACAACCCCCACCATGCCGCGAGTTCTCACTTTAAAGCAAATCGAAGGCGGTAAGCCTGGAGAAGTCTACTATCCGTGAGTTTCAAACACCCTCTTCATCAATTCATTCAATCCCACCAGTCCAAGATATCAAAGGCTTATCGTTTTCATTCATCATAGCATCCAAATCAAAGAGGTTCCCAAGCCTACTCCAGGGCCTGGTCAGCTCCTCGTCCGCATCTCCGCTGCGGCCCTCAACCACAGAGACCTCTTCATCCGCCGCCACCAATACCCTGCCATCTCCTTCACCTCACCACTATTTGCCGACGGCTATGGAACCGTCGTCGAGGTCGGGCCCAACGTCACTCGCAAGGAATTGCTCCACAAGCCTGTGCTGTTGACGCCCATGCGAGGATGGGAATCCAGCCCTGCCGGACCCGAAGACCCCCGCAAGTTTGCCGTCATTGGATCCAGCAAGATCACAGAGGCTGGAACCGGGCAAGATTACATCGTCGTGCCCGAAGACGAGGTTGAGCCGGCTCCGGAGCACCTTTCGCCGGGCGAGGGTGCCGCGTTGCCGCTCGTGGGACTCACGGGATGGAGAGCGCTGGTGACCAAGAGCGGCGCCGCCTTTCCGGGCAGCAACATCCTGGTGACAGGAATCGGTGGTGGCGTTGCACTCTCTGTTCTCCAGTTTGCCGTTGCCTTTGGAAGCAATGTTTACGTCTCATCTAGCGATCCAGTCAAGCTTGAGCAGGCCAAGGCTCTGGGCGCAAAAGGAGGCATCAACTACAGGAACGAAGCGTGGGAAAAGGACTTGGCTGCTCTTCTACCCAAAGACCGCCCTTATCTCGACGCCGTAATTGATGGCGCTGGCGGCAAGCTCGTCTCCAAGACTGTCCGCCTCCTTAAGCCTGGCGGTGTCATCTCCCAGTACGGCATGACGGTGTCCCCCAAGATGGACTGGCTGATGCAGGCTGTGCTGGCCAACGTGGAGCTCAAGGGCACTACAATGGGATCAAAGCAGGAATTCAAGGACATGGTTGCGTTTGTCAAGGAAAAGAAGATTAAGCCGGTTATTAGCAAGACGATTAAGGGCCTTGGGAACCTTGACGCTCTCAACGAGTTGTTCCAAGAAATGGACGAAGGAAAGCAGTTTGGCAAGCTAGTAGTTGAGTTTGATTCCGAGGCCGCCTCTCCAAAGCTGTAAGTGAGCCCGGGGATGCAAAAGACGATGAAAGATGGGAAGACGGAAAAGGCTGACAGCAGATGAAGAGAGGGCTAGAGGTAAGGAGGGAGGAAACGTGGGAATTCAATAAGACAAAGTCACGACCATTATAATAAACCATATGATGAAACCTAGGTACATCTTGAACAAATATCTTTGTATTATACACTCAAATCTGTAGTATGACGCACTATACAGAGGCCATATTCACACTGCCTTATCAGTGTCTACAAGCTTAGAAGAACGAGGCGCTCCTGTTGTAATGGTCCTTGTTAAATGTCCCATGGATATTATTGCAGGTTCTTTTTCTTTCTCCCTAAACAAATAAACAAACGCTCCTAACCGTCCCAACACCTGGTGTATCAAAGCTAGGCTAGCCACCTTACTCAGAGCTCTTCTTCCGCTTCTTTTTGGGTCTGTCCTCTTCTGGCGGCACGAATTCTGCTGCTCGCTCCTTTGCCCTATCGTCCTTTGCCTGCTTCTGCTTCTCCTTGCGGTCGCTGAGCGCCGCCCTGTCCTTGGCCTCCTTACTGAGGAAGTACTCGCCACTCTCAATCTGCTTATCGACCTTGCTCTTCTCAGGCGCTGGCGGGAATGGCGTGTAGACCTTCTTGGTCTTGTCTGTAACCTTGAGAGGCACCCGTCTCTTGCTCAATGTCTTCTTCTTGAAGTTTGGCAGGAAGCGGTCCCAGCTTTCGTTGGCCAGCTCAGGATCCTTGGCAAGCTCACGCTTGATCATGAGCTCCTTGATGTGGTAGATAGGATGGATGTTGTTCATGCAGTCCTCAATCACTCTCCGCAGCTCTTTTAGGCCCTTGTAAGGCCCCATGGCCGACACTGTGTTGCCGTGGACGAGGATATAGGTCTCCGTCAGAAGCTCAAGTGCCTTGAGCGTAGAGCCATTGGGTCCCAATATTCGCTGACGGCGCTTAACGAATCGCTCCTTGTTTCGCACCAGGTTTCGGATCTTGATGATGTCGCACGCGACGCCGTCGTCTAGGATCTTGACGGCCTGGGGAGCGGGGACGCTTCGTGCCAACAGCTTGATGAGGTCACGCGCGTTCAAGATTGCTGCAGGATCAAATGTTTTTCTCGTTGTTTTGACTGTCATTGAACCCTCTACGAGATCCAATGTGCAGGCAATGCCGTGCTTCTCCAGCGCCTTGGTAATTAACGGCCATGCTTCTTTCAGATAGACTTCGCGGTACTTGGGGAACAGCGTGACGAATGATGACTCCTCGGTGAATGTGCCGCCTGCATTGTCCTTTGCAGTGAAGGTATCAATCTTCCACTTGTCGATATCGTCGGTATCCCAGGGCTTTTCTTTCTTGTGTGTGGACGGCATCGTGCTTGGATGTCAAGTTGGATGTGTGTGGCTACTCGTTCGATTGGGTTGCGTTTGGGACGCAATTTAATACAGTGCTATACTGCAGCACTATACTGGATGCGCTTTGCGATATATGGATGTATGGTGAAGTTTGTGAAATGGAAATGTAGAGGATTGGCTGTCAGAGAAATGATGGATTCTCTGCTTCCAAAAAATTTGGCGGCCTTGCATGGGCTATCGATAAGATAAAGAAATGGTGGATCTCCAATACGGCACTAGATTGCTTTGGTCATAGTGCCTGGCCAATGGTGGCAGCAAGATGCAAGTTGCTTTAAGATTTACAAAATCTCCATCGTGAGCACGAGACGATATTGCGCATTACCGAAACTCCAGCATTCCGCCTCCTGCAAATCCGATCCAGCCATGTCGAAAGCAAAGGGCGCCGCCGCGGGCGTGGACACCATCGTCAAACTAATTGTGGGAGCCGGCCAGGCCAGTCCCAGCCCTCCAGTCGGTCCCGCGCTTGGTAGCAAGGGTGTCAAATCCATGGACTTTTGCAAGGTCTGTCACTTAATGCTTTGCTGCTGGATTCGATCGATTCGGTAATTGGTCTTCGAGACGAACCAAGGCTAACTGTGTCGTAGGAATTCAATGCTAGAACAGCACACATCGTCCCTGGCACACCCATGCCGTGCCGGGTCACGGTTCGACCTGATCGGTCCTTTACGTTTGACGTCAGAACACCCCAGACATCATGGCTGCTGCTCAATGCAGTGGGAGCGCCAATGGGCAAGAAGGGAACCAGAAAAGGCGTCAGCAAGCCTGGGCATGAGACGGTCGGCACCATCAGCTTAAAGCACATCTACGAAATCGCAAAAATCAAGCAATCAGAGCTCAGGCTGTCTGGCCTATCGCTGGAGGGGCTATGCCGGTCTATCATTTTCCAGTGCAAATCAATAGGAATTAATGTGGTGGCTTAACGATACCAAGGAACAAAGAAAAGAAGAAAACGGCGTTTGATGATGGGATTTGTGATATCGGCATATCAAAACAGGCGGGTTGGGAGCAACGATGTGTATAACATAGCAGGTATTGCGGGATTGCGTCGAGATGTACGATGAAGGTTCGAAAAGACATACTACAATAGATATTCGGCTTCTTTTTTCCCTCCGACTCGAGGCTTCCTACCCTCTTTCCCTCTTGTCTGCCTTACTCCTCATTTGGCACGTGAATTCGAAACAAGGTACTAACTTGATGTATCAATGCTTGTCCAACAACAAAGCATCACCACCAATCAGAGCGGCAGTCAACACAATCCAGCAAATCGCAACGGCTGCCTGGAATCCGAACGGGACGGCTGTTGTTTGTGAGCCTCGTCATTGAGACTCGCCTCCAGCTGTAGGACTGCAGGCCGCGTACCGGCCGCCTGACATCGCGTCATCCGATTTGCTGGAAGCATCGATGCCTGAACAGGGCATACTCGCATCTGTACGAAAATACATTGTTTAAAAGGATCCATCCCTACACTGAAGTTTGTTCTATTTGTGGCTTATGGAAAGCCACGGCGCGCGCCTAGGAGAGCGACAAGGTTCATCAATGGATGTTTAAATATCGCTGTCCGGCCGAAAACATCCCTTCAATTTGTAGGCCTCCCGCACATTGAAGCCTAAAACAGCAGCGTCTACCCAGCCCTCCGTCCGACATTGCTCAATCCAAACCATAGCCCTGTGACTAGCACCAACTCCATCTCAGAATATGACGAGCACAACAAAGCGCACAATGCCGACCTTGGAATGCACATGCGGGCGCCCTTTCCGCAGCGAAACAGACTTGAAACAGCATAGAAGGGATAAATCTCGATTTATTTGCCGTCGCTGCAACAAATGTCTGGCCTCCGTCGAATCAGTCAAGGAACATAAGGCTTTCCACGCGACATGTTGGGAGAATCCGTTCAAAGACATGCAATGGCGCTGCAACGACTGTGGCGCAGTATTTGAAAGCCGAGCTGCTTCGAACCAACATGTTCAAGTAACGGGACACGCTACCGAGTTTCGTTGCTGTGACTGTAACAAGGGCTTCAAGAGTGAAAAATCTCTACTCGACCACCTAGGAGCAAAAGACCATGGGAAGCCCGTCGCAAAGCCGCAGAAAAGAAAAGAACCTAAAGAAGACAGAGAATGCAAAGAATGCAATCGTACTTTTAAGAATGTCAAAGCTTTACAGCAGCATCTAGACTCTGTCATTCATCGTCCAATCAGCAACTTGACTTGCATGGCGGGCAAGATTTGTGGCGTGGAGTGCAATGCCCATTTCCGGAGCCCTTCAGCTCTAGTTGCCCACATGGAGAATGGCACTTGTCGGTCGGGCATGAACCGGCAGAAACTCAACAGATTGGTGCTCATGCAGGATAGCGAGCATCTCATCACCAGTTCCGACGGCAGCTTTGAATCCTTGGGCTGGGCTAGCCTGGAGAACGAGCCAGACTTGAGCAGCTCCGGGATCATGACGCCAAGCACAGATTCAGGTGAGGGTGTCATGCTGACGCCTAGTAGCAGTCAGATGGACTTGATGAGCCTTGTTGGAAGGGATTTTACTGGACTCGATTTATCTGATACGGATAGCGACTGTACAGAATTGCCCGCGGACGGCATCTATCTTTGCCCCCTCTGTCCTCGCAGCCAACGGCGCTTCAATGGAAGAAAAGCTCTGGAGCAACACATGCAATCACCTGCTCACATGTCCATGATTTTTCACTGTCCTTCAATTCTATTTCAAGGAAACTCTGGGAAATCCAAGCCGAGTATGAAGAAGTTTTCAACAATCAGCGGGCTTGTTGCTCACATCGAGAGCGGTGCGTGCCGTGGCGGCAATGCTGGACTGCGTACAGTGATGCAGTACATGGAAGAGAGGCTGGAGGACATGGGAATGTCGTTCAAGCTGCTGAGCATATAATACGCTTGTGGGCTAGCAATACCCACCTATATGGATATACATGCAGCGTTGGCAGCAGTTGACATGCCTCTGCTCTAGATTAGGGTTGTATTTGCCGTATCTTTGACGCGAAGCTTCTTTTATAGTCAAAGAATGGTCAATGTTGATGATTTTATTAGTTAGTTAATAAATCACTAGCTAAACTAACATTTTTGCACTATCTATACTAAGATGGTGGTGAAATAAGAAGCTTTATGCCTACGTAACACTCAAGTGGAATCTGCATTTCGATATCAGAAAGTCGCCAATGGGAGCCATCGACAAATACTAAACGGCGGGACTATGAATACAACTGAGGAACCTCTGTCGGTAGATGGTGGACCACGTACACTCAATGGTGGTCTGTATTTAAGAAACTCAACCATCGTGAGGATGACACGTCCAAACTTAGTTGAACCCACAGGGTGGGGAAGCATGTATCGAGATGATCGCCATTGAAGACAAAAGGCCGTTTCAAGTTGTTTCTATATATATCTCTATATATATATCCACGGTATGAATTCTCACAGCTAACACTTGATAGCCAAAGACCATCCTTGCCATCATTCACCATCGTTATTCCTGAGTGGATGGACGTTGCTTTGTTGCCCACCGCTTACAAATTAGCCCTCGTTTTCCGCTCTCGGCTAATGTTCGATAGCATCTTTGGAAGCTGGCTAGAGGAAGATCATGTTACATGGGAGGGAGATCAAGCTCAAGTGGCGATCAGGCCCCACTTGTAGACGGGCTTGTCACGGAAAAGAAAACCAAGATGGCCATGCAAGGTTCAATTGTCTTAGAGAATAGCGAATTGATGCCGAATGAGGCACGTGCGTTCTGTAGCAGAGCTCGGCATTGCTGCTATGTAGCAGGCCGAAAGCAAATCCTGTTATTGAAGCATGCCGTTTAAGCATGCCACTGATTCAGTTGTCGGGCTAATGCGAGAAAGATTTTTCTTCTCCTTCGTCTTGTTTGTTTGTTGGGTGGCGAGCAGGAGGATGGGGATGGGGATAGCTACATGCTTTTACGGCTACACGGCGATCCCGAAAGCCCGGAATTCAGTTCCGAAAAAATTGATGCAAATTGATTGCGTTTGGTTAATGTCAGGACAGGCTGGAAACTACAGACTTGCAAAGAAAAAAAATGGAAAATATGCCGGCAGATTTTGATTGATTGCCACCAGCGGTTGGGAGAATGTCCACCTGTGGGGCCGTCAGGGATGTCGATCGGGAGAGGCAAAAAAGCAAACGGACTGTATTCGTGTATGTACATACGAAGTGCGTACTTGCAGATACCGTGACACAAAATCAACTGGGTTATTACCTGTACATGTGTAGCCAGGATGCCAGGGATGGGACGCCGGATTTGTCCATTCATTGATTCTGCCCCTGCCACGACGGGCCGACTTGAGCAATGTGCGGCAATTTGAGAGTTAGATACTACCATACAAGTTCCGGATAGCTGGTCAACTGGTCCTAGTTGTGTTGGCTCAATGCAACTCAATGAGACTAGCCGAAGGAGCAGCTGAATGCAGCAACCCATTTCGAGCTTCTTGTTTGCCCAGTTGCCCAGCTAGTGCCAGTGCCCTCGGTGTAGGTCCATGCGAGATATTCTTGCAGCAGATTACAAAGCAGATCGTGACCTCTTGTGGGAGTCATCACATCACATCGAACGAGATGGGCCAGCGGAGGGTAAAGAGAGGACACCTGTTGCCCTGAAATACTGTACAGAGACACATCATGGAGGCGGGAGTGAATCAGCCGCTACCCCCGTCGCCAATCACGGCCGCGGCAACACTTCGACGTGCTTGTTCCCGTATCCATCCACGGAAAGCCTCATTGATAGGACCCAGACGCGGGTCACAGACCATCCGTGGGGTGGGTAATACTTGCTCAGGACTCCATACAAGGACCAAATGACTGCAAGCATCAGGTCGATTCCCTAGACAGGTAAGTCGCAGTCACGCAGGGAATAGCACTAATACGGTACGATGCGGTATAAGCACAGAAGCTCGGTGCCGAGGCATGTTGTGCTTGGCTGCTTGGCTTTGATAAGGTAAGGCATCGACGCCTTCACGATACCCGAATTGATTGATCGCAACCTAGGTTGGTTGATGGACGTGCATCCGAGAGCCGCGCAGCTAGAATCTGGCCAGCGTGGCGCTTGAACAATTCCGCAACTCCCGGGAGCTGTAACCACAGGGCATCGTATCCGATAGAGTGACAATGGCAAGGATGGGGGAATTTTCTAGATTGCGCCTCGAAGGAACAGACAGCCCGTAGATTGGGCTAACGACATCGGCGATGAGCCTTGGCTTCTTGTACCCCCAGGTACCTTTGCCGCGCTGCCCGTCAGAGAGGTACCGCCGCAGCATGTATCGTGGGGCCCGGGCATCTGTATTGGTGCGCTTCTCGCGGGTCTAAAGTTCCAGCTGAGGCGAACACGGCGGTACCTCAAAAGAGGGGAAGAGGTACGGCTGCTCGGGGTTCCTGCGCGGAGTGTCGTAAAAGCCGCTGCCCAAATTTCAATGTGCTTAGGGGACCCCTTGTTGCCCTGAGTTGGACAGTACCTGTACTTGGTGCCTATAATAAACAACAAGACGAGGGGGGACTCTCAAAGGGGGAGGCTGTACAGCAAGTGACTGTACTTGTGCATGGACGGCTTACAAACGTTGAAAGATGAGCATCGGGCAAGAGAATGACAAACGACAAACGACATTGTCCTCTTTGGGAACATTTGCTTGTGAAGCAACAGCCGTAAACAGCAACCAGCTTTGGGTACCTCACAGTACCTTTCTCCCGTGACCGCCTCTGCGGCTGATGTGCCCTTCACATCCTGCGAAAAGCATGTGGCCGCTCCAAGCACCCAGCGCAGTACCTGTACCGGTGACGCAGCACCTCTGTCAGGTATCACGCCCCGTTCGGCCAAAGTACCTCGCCATACCGCTCGTCACCGCGCCTACCTGCAGGCTCCCCCCGTATTTCGCAGGTACAGCCCGTTGGCGGCGCTACCTCCGAGGGTACGGACTCCGCGCTGTACCAGTACCAGTACCTGTACATTGGCAACTGGAAGTGGCCCGGAATCCCCAAAGCCAAGCAGCCCCACCATCGGCCATTCTTTTCCATCATCGCGCAACCGAAATCGAGTCGAGCCAAAAAAAAAAGCGTTCGCTAGGCCACGGGCTGCGCTGCGCTACCCGCCCCGGCCCTCAAAACTTGACTCCCACAAGGTCCTGCTTCGTTGCCTCTGGGATCTTCGTGCGTTGCTTCACTTTTGCGGGCAAACAAGAGACAAGGCTTTGTATTCCCGACCTGCTCCATGGCGTCGTCAGAGCCTCAAAAGGCGCCCTTCCAGCAGGAAGCCGCTGCCTGTAAGTTTCCTCTGCGTGTCCGGTGCATCCGCTGAGACGCCTCAAACGCCCTCCCCCCCCCCCCCCCCCGATTCGCATTGATTGAATTTGGCGATAACGAGAAGAGTTGTGTTTTGCTAATCTTATCTCAATTCTGCCTTCAAACAGACGATACTTCTGCCGCTGGTACTGGTACTGCTACCACTGCTGCTTCAACTGCTGCTGTTGCTGGTTCTGGAGCTGCTGCTTCATCCGATCAAGTCTCTCGATCGCCGTCCAAGGAGAGCTCCGGCAGCAAACCTCACGATGGTCCGGCCTCTGTCCGCTTCTCCTCCGCCGTGGAAGAGATTGAGCCAGCGGCTCCTGTTGCGCAGCCCGCCGCTCCGGCCTCCCTGAAGACGACGACAAACACCTCAGACCGCTTCGATACCTTCAATGAAGTTGCCGCCGACCAGATCAAAGCTTTCCAGAAGTCCATGAATCATGGATTACCCCTGCAGGAGCGCCGGATGAGCACTTTTGGTTTCGAGGCCTTTTCTCTGCCTGCGTCAAGGGTAAGAGCTCCATTGTTTTTCTCCATCCCGTGTTCAAGAATGGCCACTTTTGTCTTTGACAAGCTAGTATTTGTTTTGTTTGCTCGTTTGTTTTGTTTCTATTCTTCTATCCTCTTACCCTCCTCCCCTTTGCTCGTTTATTCTTCCCCGCTGTCTTGATATAAGCATCGGTTTGCATCCGTCAAGTAATAGCGGATGCGTGCATGCATCTAATCAGCGCCCCGAATGTTTGCAACCCCGATTCATCTCCCTGAGCCCCCGGCCACCCCGAGGCTCAGCATCCCTTCGTCATCATCGCCTGTGTTTCTCAACTTGCCAACCCTGCCCCAACATTCAGTGGCTAACCGCGACGCCTTCCATCAGGTCAATTCCCGTGAAGATGCCTCAAATGACTCCACGAGACTCCCAACGCCAAACTCATCCGGCTGGCAGTCTCCCCATGGGAGCCCCCGGCTTTCGGCCTTGGCCTCTCCTCCTTTGACGCCCGCTGGATCAGATCCCGAAAAGAGGTTAAATAAAGAAGGCGCCATAACCAGTGCTCCCACCTCCGCCGTTAATGATTCTCACCTCATTACTCCGCAGCCGTCCACTTCCACCGATAAGGCTCTTACTCGCACTGCCGATCGCAAGGTTCTCACTCATCGACCAGCATCCTCGGACCACGCCATGTCCAGGGCCTCGTCCACCGATGAGCAGCGCGGAGAGTCTAGGGCCCATCGGCAGGACATGTTTTCTGTTGGGCCAAGCTCTGTCCCAGTATCTCGTGAATCAAGCCCCTCTAGAAGTGCGGCATCGTACTACTACTCCAAGCCAATGGCACCTGGAGGCGACGCCAACGATCCCTATGCCAAAGGCCGCCGACCCCCTCAGCTGCAGCACCCCACCCGTCATTCAGTCGACCCGCGATTTGTCTTTTCTAGGAAGAAGAAGCATGGGACGTCTCCCACGTCATCCAAAACAAGCTTGGGAATGTACACGCAGCAGTCCAAGCAGAGTGACGATTCCGGATCCAACGATGGGGCACACGGCCATGCGGCAACCGGTTCCATGTCCGATCTAAAGCGATTCTTCCGAAAATCTGGCCACCACAAAAAGCGGGACGTATCACCGTCGTCCATCAAGTCATCGTCCAAGTCCAGTCAGGCCAGTCGCTCCACCCAACAGCTGCCTTTTGGCGACGACCACGGCCTGACGTCAAAGTACGGCAAACTCGGCAAGGTATTGGGGTCCGGTGCCGGTGGGTCCGTCAGGCTCATGCGTCGAACGGAAGATGGCACCGTCTTTGCTGTCAAGGAGTTTAGAGCACGCCACACGTATGAGACGGAGAGGGAATACAACAAAAAGGTGACAGCCGAATTCTGCGTTGGATCGACTCTCCATCATGGCAACGTTATCGAGACGCTGGATATCCTGCAGGAAAAGGGACGCTGGTTCGAGGTGATGGAGTATGCCCCCTTTGACCTCTTCGCCATTGTCATGACTGGCAAGATGTCGCGCGAAGAGATTCGGTGCAGCTTCTTGCAGATCCTCAACGGCGTCACCTACCTGCACAGCATGGGTCTTGCGCATCGGGACTTGAAGCTCGACAACGTGGTTGTCAGCGACAAGGGCATCATGAAGATTATTGATTTTGGTAGTGCTCATGTCTTCAAGTATCCCTTTGAGAGCGGTTCTGTCCCAGCAAAGGGTGAGTCATTTTCATTTCTTATATATATCTGCACCCCCTCTTCTCTCCTACTTTCCAGTGCTAACACAGTTGATATAGGTATTGTTGGTTCCGACCCCTACCTTGCTCCCGAGGTGTACGACGCCAAAGAGTACAATGCCGAGGAGGTCGATATCTGGTCTCTCGCCATCATCTTCTGCTGTATGACATTGCGCCGCTTCCCGTGGAAGATTCCCCGTATGACGGACAACTCGTACAAGCTCTTCGCGGCCAGCCCAACTCCTGGACACGACCCTGGCAAACTGCTGCGACCCAAGTCTACCAATGACCTGTCGTCTGTGGCTGCTCGAGAATTCCTACCTGACGACGACTCGAAGCCTCACAACAACCACGCACACAAGAGGCAGGATTCTACGGATACCCCTCCACCCGAGCAGGTACAGCTCCCAATTCCCGGCGTCAACGTCACGACCGACAAAAAAGAGGTCATCCGGGGTCCCTGGAGAATTCTTCGTCTGCTCCCCCGAGAAAGTCGTCATATCATCCATCGCATGCTGGACATCAACCCCAAGTCTCGTGCTAGGATGGGTGAGATTTTGGAAGAGCCGTGGGTGGCAGACACGGTCATCTGCCAGCAAGTGGATAACGGAGACGTGGTGCCCGCTTCTGACCACAAGCACATTCTGGAGCCGCCCAACTCTCAGCCACCTGCTCCAAAGAAGGCATAAGCTGCGAATTGTGGCGGCTTTGATCCTTTCTTTTTCATCCTTCTTTGCCATTTTCACTCAAACATTTTACTCTCTCACTTTATCAACCCGTCATTCTTTCTGTCTCCCTCCCCCTCTTTTTCTTTTTTCGCTTTCTTTTTGGTTTGATTCATTCCATCATTTGATTTGGCGTTTTGGATTTACACAGGATGAAATTGCACAATACCACGTAGTTTTCAAGAGGGGCCCATGACAGAAAGATGCGATGCAGTGTTGGATTCTCAATCAAGGTGCGCGCAGGGTGTGCAATGTCTTTAATAGCAGATCAATTCCGACCTCAGGGTTATATAACTTTAGTGGCATACCATTTACAGGTGATTGGGGGGTTGGCGGTTGAAGGCCAAAGGGGGGATAGACGGCGTCTGCTTTTTTTTCCTTTTTTTTTTCTCGTAACTTCATGTTGGTACATATTAGGACATAATCTGCCTCCAAATAGTTTTCAATGGAACAAGATGTCACCAAAGATCTATCCAGTATATCCGGTATATCCAGTAACTTAAATCTCTTGAATCCCTCGTCTCGAACTGCACCGCCTCATCAGCTTGTTGGCTCGGGCCGAGAGCCCTGGAGCTCCGGATTCGGCATAGAATGGCGGGGTTGGCGCTTGGAGCTACCTGAAGCTATCGCGGAGCAGAGGGCCTCGGAAGAGGGGAAATCCCGAACCGACATTGGCGGGAGAGCGAAAAAAAAATTGTTGCCGGCTAAGCAGCTGCTAGATTCTGGAAGCCGTTCGAAGAGAAAGAGCATTTGTTGCCGATCCGAACCGCTGCTCCAGCTCATCCGCCTTTTTTTCTTCTTCTCCATCCACCGGTAACGTCAATTGCAAGCTTTACGACCTCATTTTCACCTACCTACCCATCCATTCACAATGGTATGTCATTTACTTGTGTCCCCTCCTGCAAAGTCTGCTTCTTCGTGCTCTGGTTGTAATAATTACCAAACACACCCCACCCTACTGCCGGATGACTTACATATATACGCATGAACCTATATGTAACATTTTGGGAGCTGTCACTATTGTCATTGGGGCTTAATAGTAGAAGAAAAGAACCAATCCGCTAACGTACGGCAACCAAACCACAGTCTGCCCTCCGATCCATCCGCAACCTCGCTCCCCTCCTGGACCGCGTGCTTGTCCAGCGCGTCAAGGCCGAGGCCAAGACCGCCAGCGGCCTCTACCTGCCCGAGTCGAGCGTCGAGAAGCTCAACGAGGCCAAGGTCCTCGCCGTCGGACCCGGTGGTCTGGACCGCGATGGCAAGCGCATCCCCATGGGCGTGGCTGTTGGTGACCGTGTTCTGCTTCCTGCGGTATGAACTTAATCAAACAACTCTTGGACCAGGGATATGGTGATGATAAAGAATTCTTTGGCTGACTTGGGCATTTTTAGTTTGGTGGCGCGGCTGTCAAGGCCGGTGAGGAGGAATACCAGCTGTTCCGTGACAGCGAGTGAGTCTTGCCTACGAATGTCATCTATGGTAAACGTTGCTAATAAGACGCAGAATTCTCGCCAAGATCAACGAGTAAAACAAAGACGAAGAAAAGGCAAAAAGCAATAATACCCGACGTCATGACGAGTGTACTATACTGTGTACCATACGAATGAAAAGGAAATTATAAAAAAGACAAATGAACAATTCCAAAAACCTAAACTCTTTACATTACAAAATTTTAAGGATATGGCGACTTCATGTACTCTAAGGCGGAGGTTTCCCTTGGAGAGGGGAAGATAGGGGAAGAAATTAAGAGACATTTGGCATAGACTGGAAAGCGATCTATACCCTCAGTGGTGTGATGTGCGTTTTGTGAGTGATTATCGCGGAGGCTGTCGGTGTTTCTTTAATACGAAATCTCCACTCATGGTAGTTATGCTTTTTTATACGGTTTATTTTGGCTCTGGCTACGGCGTGATTGCGATGTGATTGACGTTGAACAGGGGCTTAATGTGCGCGTGTAGGTTCTCTATGAGTAGAGATACGAGCCCTTCATTTAACGATGAAACTATATCCATCGGATCTGCAGTCCTTATTGATGGTCCTATCTCCGGGATCTGCCGCAAGCTTCGTTGATACTTTGCCGGGAAGTTTATCTCGCTCGGGCTGCCAACCGAGTCGTGTCATACAGTGACATACACAAGCGCCGACCAAACGGTGCAACCCAATGAAAGCCTGGCTGCAGGCAGGCAGTCTGGTTTCAGTATAAGATATTGGTTTCAAGACTGCTGCTCGCCAACCTGCCAAGACATGGTTCCTTTCATGACTGTTGGGCCAGAGAAAGCTAATCTAAACGACTGGTGAGACGTGGTGCATTCTCAGGGCAGCATATAAACTCTTCAAGCCTCGGCGGGTGGCTGCACGAGCCATCAAGGGGGAGAGAAACTTTGAACCGAGACCAACAAACTATGGCTACGAAGTAGGCGCCGTGTTAACCCCTTTTCGGAGACTATCTTTCTTTGTTCTTCGCGATGCTCTGTTTACTGCCATCGTCTTTCATTTATATTAGTACGCTGCTCCCCCCGATGTCCCTACTCTTTGTTCAGCAAATCAGCTCCAAAACTTCAAGGTTGCCATTTGCATTCTCATCATGAAGCGTTACATTGCTGGACTCTTGTTGCTGAACCTTGCCTCTATGGCAAGTGCTCATACTTCTTTTACAACCCTCTTCATTGACCGAAAAAATCAAGGAGATGGTACTTGCGTTCGCACGCCCCATGATGGCGAGACTGCCACCAACCCAATCCATCCCATCACCTCGGAGGACATGGTTTGTGGTAAGAATTGCTCCCCTCTTATTTAGTGCAGAGAACAGCCGTTGATCTTGCTACAGGTCGCGACGGCAATGAAGCCGTGTCATTCATCTGCCCCGCAAATAAAGGGTCTCTTCTCACGTTTGAATGGCGTCAATGGCCAGATGCTCAGGCGCCCGGCAGCATCGATCCGGGCCATCTTGGTCCCTGTGCCGTCTACATCAAAAAGGTCGACGATATGTTCACAGAGAGCGCCGCTGGTGACGGTTGGTTCAAAATCTGGGAAGACGGCTACAACCCGGTGACCCAAAAATGGTGCGTTGACCGACTCGTCGAGAACAACGGTCTGCTCTCCGTCAATCTTCCTCGGGGCTTGCCTTCAGGGTACTACATTGTAAGGCCCGAGATCGTGGCCTTGCACTGGGCCGTCCATCGCGACGATCCGCAGTATTTCGTGGGCTGTGCACAAATCTTTCTCAACAGCGATGTCCAGGGCCCTCTCAATGTTCCCCAGGAGCATCTCACGAGCATCCCCGGATATGTTGATCTCTCCACACCAGGCCTCAAATATGATATATATCAGAACGATCTGCCGCCATATCCGATTCCCGGCCCAAAGGTGTACATCCCCAAAGTCGACACGAACAGTGCCAACGGGGTTCCCACACCAGAGCCAATGCTTCAGACTGCAGGTGTCATCCCCGAAGATTGCGTCCTCAAGAGCGCAAACTGGTGCGGCAAACCTATCCCGCCGTACTCGACCGAGGACGAATGCTGGACTGGCGTCATGGATTGCTTTGCGCAGAGCGAGGAGTGCAAGCCGAGTGCGCAAACGGTTGGGCAGGTCAATTGCGACCAATGGAGCGATTACTGCGAGAAGCTGAACAAGCTGTGCGAGAGTGACGAGTTCGTTGGGCCCATAGCATTCACTAAGAAGGAGATTATGGCGCCGGTGCCAGGAGAGATTCCGGCGATGTGGAATGATGTGTTTGAAGAGAAGGAGTAGAGAGTTGATGAGTTTGGCTAGGATTTTCAGATATTTGCGTGGCGGTTTGGTGGGGGTTTTTTTTTTTTTTTTTTTTTCATTTCTTGTCATATATAGGTATTTGCTTCATTGTCGATATGTTTTGGACGAGTTTAGGAGGCTGGCCCTCTGATGACCGCAATCTCAGTCAACGGACCGTATAGCATTAGCATTGCTCAGTGTATTCTAGTAGACGGCCAACAATTGTGCAAACTTGTGATTATATGCCAAACAAAATACCCTGTGATTATCAAATATACATATTTGCACGTTTGCACTCTTACTCTCTTCGTTCTTCACATGCCTACTCGCATCTACCCTGTGATGTGGCGGGGCTGGATTAACCAAGCCTCCGGATACACGTATATACCGTACTCGTACCCGTCAATCGCATCCAATTCGGAGCGCACCAGCCCGGGAAAACGCTCTACCTTATCCAAACACCGACCGATGACGTCTTCCACTGGCGTGGCACTCGAAATCATCAGACCAAGCAGAAACAAGAAAACCAGAAAACAGAAGTCCCGTGCCAGAGGTCACATTTTGCTCGTCCGCCTGGGGAAAAAATTCAGCCACTCGCGAATAAATGTCAGTGGCCCCTCATGCGAATGCAGGGACCAGTTACCGAGAATGGGAGTACGAGGTACTTGTCATGTACGAGCCAAGGAGGTTGTTTCAACGGTTACATGTAAGGGGCAGGACTTGGGACTCTGCATGTCCAAGTATGCAACTTGTCCCACCCTGCCTAAGCCTCTAGCAACTTACGGCCGGCGGGGATTCCAAACTGCTTGCAAAAGATTACAAGGAAGACGAGTCCCATAAAAGGATACAGAGGGCTGATGATTATTAGTTCATGGCCAGGACCATGTGCGTCTGCGACTCGCTGGGCTCGTGGTGCTGGTATTCAGAGGACCGCTGTAACGGGATGTACCTTTGCTAGCAGCGATTATCTCGATGCCTGGTCCAGAGGGATCGTGCGTAGATTGCCGAGGGTTTGGCTACTGCCTTGGCTATAGTAGGTTATTATAGACCCTGCGGAAATTATCTCGCAATGGCTACATGTACTTGTTTGCACATATAATGCACCGGGTGCCTATCTATAGTACTCATAAACACGAAGCTTGATGCATGACTTGGACACCGCATAATCAAACCATCCATGCATGCAACCTTTTATCGATTCAGGTTGATTGATTGAGGCTTCAGAAGGTCTCCAGCGGGTTTTAGGTGGCCATCCCGCTAAAACATCACCCCAGTCCAGCGTCTGCCCCCCTCCCCCCAGAAGGGTCCCCACGACCCGTCGGTACCTTGCCAGCGCTTCTCGCCGCAAAAAGGTACATGCGCTAGCCAGTTTACGTATGCACCAACGCCGGACGTGCATCTCGGCCAAGTGTCCCGACCGCTTCCAGCTGTCCAGATGCCAGAACCTCGATTCTGCAACCTTCACCGACGGGCCTGAACTGAAACCTCTCTCCGGCTTCTGCCACCTGCATCGCCAGCTTCGCTCAATTGCGCCCGCCTTCTGCCAGCGCACCGCTCCTCGTCTGCGTCTTGACATCCTGCTCACGTCTTATTCAGTCTAGAGCCCCTCTTGTTGCTCCGACATCACCAAACCTGACTCCCGCCTCGCTGCAATACCTCTTGGTGCTGAGCCTTTCTCCGGATCTGCCGCCAACCCGTGTAGCAACTGTACTCTGTACATATACGCGAGTTATCTCGACGAGAAGCACCTTTTTTGCACCTTTTGGGAGGCTTGTCATTGCTTGCTCCGTCCTTGTCACGGCCCGGACACTTCTTTAGTTTTCCGCCTCTACCTTTCCCGCCTCTCCGCCACTTCGTCTCGCAACCACCGTCGTTCTCGAGTCGACCTTTGCACCACCTCGAACCCCCTTAATCAGGACTATATTTTGCCCAAAATGCCCGCCATGCCTAGCAATCGCAACTACGACTTTCTGGTACGACTTAATCCATTCCTCCCCCCTTTCGCTACCCCCCACCCTCTAGCCACTAAGCGCGGCTCCAATCACATGGCATCGTCGACGACGAGGCAATCACGCTGCAATCCAGAACGAGGACGAACGAGATGCTAACTGAACATGTCCTCATTAGATCAAGCTCCTTCTGATTGGTGATTCCGGTGTTGGAAAGTCATGCTGTCTGTTGCGATTCAGTGAAGACTCCTTCACTCCATCCTTCATCACCACTATCGGCATCGACTTCAAGATCAGGACGATTGAGCTGGATGGCAAGCGAGTCAAGCTGCAGATCTGGGATACCGCCGGCCAGGAGCGATTCCGCACCATCACCACCGCCTACTACCGCGGTGCCATGGGCATTCTGCTGGTATACGATGTCACCGACGAGCGATCATTCCAGAGTATGTCAAACCCCCCTCCCCACTCTGCTCACCGCCTTGAATCGTTTCTCCTGCTTCTCCATCTACCCGTCTCTCCGTTTCTTGATGTTGGGCCTGCAAAACCACCTCAGTTCTGTGGCCACGTTCAAACGGGTGCCCGCCTTGGAGCAATTGTTTGCTGCAGCGCTCGAGAAATAGCAAGATCAAACAAAAGTGGAGTTGTTTAGGCCATGGCTGACATGTGTAACTTTTTCCCAATAGACATTCGTACCTGGTTCCAGAACGTGGAGCAGCACGCCACCGAAGGCGTCAACAAGATCCTGATCGGCAACAAGTGCGACTGGGAGGATAAGCGCGTTGTATCCACGGAACAGGGCCAGGCACTGGCTGACGAGCTCGGCATTCCTTTCCTCGAAGTCTCCGCCAAGAGCAACATCAACATTGACCAGGCCTTTTACAGCCTGGCTGCCGACATCAAGAAGCGTCTCATCGACAACCAGAAGACTGACGTTGGTACCTCATCAGGTGTCAACGTTGGCGAGAAGAGCGAGGCTGCCGGTGGCAAGTGCTGCTAAAATGGTCCAACAGTTGAATGCTGCACGCGCAAACGCGGGGCACGACGTTGATTTGACAGTGTATTTGACGTATGATATAATGGAGACGGCAGCGCAACGCGATCAAGACATACGAGCTGTTTATGAGGCCTGCAGTTTATCAGCTTTGTGCCAGTAATGACATTTCGGATATGAGGGTCATGAGAGTTCCTTGACTTTGAAAAAGAAAAAACCTCCTACAAACAAACTCGACGACCTTCAATCCACACCCCCTACCTACCCCCTTAGAGAGAGCAACTACGGTTCGGAGTTTTTGCGGTCTTCTTTTCCCCTTTTCGTTTTTTTCTCTTTTCGTTGTCCTTTTCTCTCTCGTTTCATTTTTCTATTAATTTGGGTTTTAATACAAAAAAAAAACTATTACTGCTACTGTGTCATTGACTATTCCTGTAGCGGCCAGAGAGAGGGCCGTGCTGTTGTTTTCGCTTTGGAGTCTGGCATGTGGCAAAGATAAAAAAGAGCGAATGGACAGAAGTGACAAGTGTCGCAATAGAGCGGAGAAGAAAGAAGATCTGGGAGGTGAGAGGCGGGAAAGCGTCCACAACATTGGAGGATTCATAATTTGAGATGCAGTCACGAAGAACAATGATGGGGGAAGCATGCGGTAGCAATCACGATGTGGCGCGAGGCGGTGGCAATGAGATGAGATAGGATGTGATAGTAGACGGAGGAGATAACTACCACTTTATTATTGATGCATGAACCAAGTACCTTGCCGGCTCCGGCTGCGTTGTTGTGAGCGTTCTACGATTCCAGCTCTGCTGAAACCGCCGTGCCTCTGTCTCATCGGCGCACGCGAGTATGAACCGGCCTTTGAGCTTTTCCAATGTCTCACGGTCATTACGCCTAAAAGATGGATTTCGCTGCCTGTCTTCTTCCCCCTCTTGCTCATCCACCTCATCATCCCAACTAACTTCTTTCGTACTATTCGTCTTCGTTGACCCTCGCTCCGAGCCGCTCGTCTTAAGATGCTGGGGCAGAGAGACTTGCCACCGGAGGCCTCGGTTTTGCCCATCTCGACGGATAAACTGGTGCAGCTCCTGGGCAGTCAAAGTGGGCGGATAAATGTCCACCATCAACGTCGACGGCCGCTCCCCGTACCCGAGGTTTTCGATCAGCCCTGCCAAACGATCCGTCCACGGCCGCAAAAGAGAAACCTTTCTGCGCTGTATAGGCAGTATAGCTTGAGAGCCTGGTGAAATGGTAAAAGTGTTGACAAGGTCCACTAGGGTTTCTGTGCTCGGTGCGTTTGAAGTGAGGGCATCGCTTGTTTCGGCTGCTGCTGCTGCCGCTGCCGCTGATGGCGATGCGAGAGAAACTTTGAGGGAGGACGGGACGCTGCTTTCCCATAGACCGCTTGCGGACCTGAGCTTGAAGCCGTTGAGCTTGTGCAGGCGAACAAGTCTATCACGGTAGGAGGCGGCGGCCTCGCCTGAGCTAAAGGTGACCCAGTAGCGGCCGAGCGGTTCGAGGGTGTCTACCTTGCGTTGCTGCTGGACTAGAGGGTAGAGAGCGAGTTAGACAGTTTGTATTACCGAGGGCATAATAGAGAGAAGATGAAAGAAAAAGTAATCACCTTTCTTGATGACACTCTGCCAATCGGAGAGATCATTTGGAGTTATACGGTAAAAGTCCGCAGCGTTGAGATTGGGCGACATGCCGTCTATTATGAGCATGACAAATGACGATTCCTTGGCGCCTCGTGGGTTTTGTATGCTTTGTCGTCGAGAGAAGGGGTTCTTTGGGATGGTGACGCCGGAATTCCATGCATGCCCATGTTGTTTCCCTCCTCTTGCTCTTCTCTGTAGCTGTGGCCACTCCAGGAGAGTCGTATCTTGAGATTCGTCTTCCACACTATTGTCACCTTTTTCTCTCCCGCTCACACGAGGTCGTCGAGCTTCGCCGGTGTTAAGTTGATCGCGCGGCCGCCGATTTAAGCCAGTAGCATCAGCTGCAGATGTTGCTGGTGTCCATGTTCGCCGTCTCGGCAGTGGATTGGAGGTAGATCCTGACGTGGACGCAGCTGTGGGACGAGGAGATGTTCGTTGGGTGTTATTCAAGAATTGTGACGTTTTGTGAGGCGGTGAGTCCGAGCTACCATCTCCGTTGCCCCCTCCAATTATGCTGAAACCGCGTCTTGGCCTCGAAGCCGCATCTTTGCTTGGACGAAGAACATGGCGAGAGGAGCATTGCCTCGAGCTGTCGCCGAGATTAGCGAGTGTCGCTGTCGCTCGAGGTGTCCATCGAGGGCAGATCATCCAGGCAGATTGCCAAAGAGAGGGCGCATTGAGCTGCTCTAAACAGAGAAAGACAAGAGGCGGGATGCTAAGTCGAGAGGAATAGTGGATGGACGATTTGGAGTTTTGGAGTTTACGGCTTTTCTTTTGCAATGACGTCGGGCAAGGTACGGAACACCTTTTGCTAGTGCGAGACAGGTAGCGGGTACACAGCAATGGCAACCCATGCAGCAGATCTTGGAGCAGGAAATCTAATCAAGGTGCGATCGGAGCAGGGTTTGCTGCAATGATTTACAAAGTTGAATTTAATATGGGATTGCTTGGATTTATTGGACCTTATTTTTGTTTCATACACGTCTACCAAGGTTGTGACAATGACAGAAACTGCCAAGTGCATTATCTCTCAAAAAACGTACAAGTACATTTAGCTCCCACAATTGCAAGTACACTGTACTACAGGTACTAAAGAGGAAAATTCTTGGAGGGTCCTCGACCTTTCAAGCATCCCACATTCACTTCTCAATCGCACCTTCCAAATCTCATGTACATGTAATTAGAACCTTCCCCCTCCCCACCGACTCGTTTAGATTTGGAAAAAAGTTTTTCTCTTCATTTTCTCTTCTCTTCATCAACGCACACTCGATGAAAAGATGCTGAAAAAAAGCATCGACGCCAAAGTTCGCCCTCTCGCCAACGTCAGTCTTGAAAGAGCAAGTCTCCTCGGCGCTGCTCGCATCTACATCAGCAAAGACTCTCTCATCTCACTTACTGGCGGTCTCGAGAGTGGCCGACCATGTACCGTTGAGAGCCTCCAAACAGACGACACCTCTGGCGATGGGTCCGCAGCAGATGCAGAGACTGCTAAACGGAGAGGAGCCTCGCTATGGGTTCTCCCCGAAAAGAACATTAGTCCCAATGTTGTCATGATGACAAGGGCCTTTCAGGAGGCCACGGGGTTCAAGCTCGGAGACGTGGTCAGGATTACTCTTGCAGAGCCTGCTGTGATTCCAGACGCAGAAGAAGTCGTGGTTCAAGATGCCGCCAGTGAGGCGGATCAGCAAAAGGATACTGCCGCAGATTCAAAACATCCCCCCTCTTGGGAGTTTTCCGTCAGCGTCTCCCTCGACCGTGCGGAACAAGTGTTTCCCGGCATGGTGCTCGAGGGTGTCAACATCAACAAGCTGCGCCGCACATTCAAAGTCATATCTGTCAATGGACAGTCTAATAACCTAGCCCGCTTCAAGCTCTCCTCGTCAACAGTACGGATTGTCCAGCCCGGAGGTGACAAAGATACCCCTGAGGATACGCAAGTGGCTACAACATCTGGTCCTTTGGCTGTCACAGGAGTCCCCGGTTTATCAGCTCAAGTCAACACCATTAACCAGTTTCTCAGGGGCTTCGGCCGACCCTTCTGGATACAAAATGAGCGCGAATCATGCGGCTTCGTCATTCATGGTGGCCACGGCACTGGCAAGACCTTCATTCTGCAGCGTATTGCAGCCACCAATTGGGGCCGGGTTCATTGGATCAGGCCTTCAGACAAGCTGTCGTCTATCAGGGAGACGTTTAAGCAGGCTCAGTCTCAGCAGCCAAGCCTTCTCTTCATCGACGGTCTCGAGGATATTCTAGCCAAAGATCGCTCCAATCGTGATACTGTCATTGAGGCCCTTGGCGATGAGCTCGACAATCTCTCTGCGGCAGCCTCTACCGCCAATGCTCTGCCACGGGTTGTAGTTATTGCTACATGTCTAGATTATTTGGCCGACGTCCCAGCCAAATTACAGAAACGCTCACGATTCCGCGAGAATGTTGCTTTGCCTATCCCTCGTGCAACGGAGCGCCTTGAGATCTTACGCTTCTTCAACCCTCCTCTACAAGCTGAAGAGAAGGAGTCTTGTCTCGTCAGCCTGGCATCCAAGACTCACGCATACAATGGAGACGATCTCGCAAATCTGGTTCTAAATGCCAAGAAAATTCTCGGCAACAGGCTCGACGAGGAGAATGCTGCTGCTCAAAATGTCGATGCTGCTGCTACGGGAGAGATATCCCAGGAGACACAGCAACCAAAAGTACACTACCTTACTTCTCAGGATATGGAACAAGCTCTGCGCATCACTCGTCCCACAGCTATGCACGACATAAACCTAAAGCCACCCACCATTCACTGGCAAGATGTTGGTGGCCAGGAATCCCTCAAAAAGGTTTTATCTCGTATGATCAAAAACACAAAGGTATGTAACTCATAATTTATCCCGCCTTCGCAAATATGAATGCAAACCTCTTTGCTAACCGCTCTATTAGGATACCAATCCCACTTCTCGCCACGTCCTGCGTCAGCCTCCAAAGGGCCTCCTTCTGTATGGCCCACCTGGTTGCTCCAAGACTCTGTCTGCCCAAGCCATGGCCACCGAGTCTTCCTTCAACTTCTTCGCTGTAAAGGGTGCTGAGCTTCTCAACATGTACGTTGGTGAGTCTGAGCGTGCCGTGCGCACGCTTTTCGAACGCGCGCGCGCTGCTGCCCCTTCCATCATCTTTTTTGATGAAATTGATTCCATTGGTGGTTCTCGGACTGGAGGCAACGGCGCCGCCGCCGCCGCTAAGAGCACAGGCTCCGTGAATATGCTCACCACTCTCCTTACTGAGATGGACGGCTTCGAGTCCCTCACAGGCGTTCTGGTCCTCGCCGCCACCAACCGTCCTGAGGCTATGGACCCAGCCCTCCTCCGCCCAGGCCGCTTTGACCAAATTCTCTACGTAGGACCCCCTGACCTCTCTGCTCGAGAAGCCGTCTTCGGCGTGCATCTTCGGGGCTTGGCCCTGTCACCAGACGTCGACATCCCGGAACTGGCCCGTGTCACAGATGGTTATTCAGGAGCCGAGATCAAGGCCATTTGCAACGAGGCTGGCTTGGCTGTGCTTGACAGGTGCGACGAAGACGAAACAGGCACCGAGAAGATGGAGATTACGATGGCGGATTTGGTGGCTGCGGTAGAGAAGACTCCGAGAAACATTACGGCTATGATGATCTCGGGCTACGAGATGTGGTCGAGGCAATTTAAACGACTATGATGATATGGAAACGGAAAACTAATAGACTCAAGGAAAAACCCCCCCATTCAAGGGTGAAAAGGGGTAAGGGGTACAACGAACATAGACACTTTTAAAGATACAACATCAAAAGCATCACATCAAAGGCAAAATTTCACTGGAAGTTCACACATTTTTACGGCCGTTTGATTCATCCAAGGGCATTGCACCGTCTACATCTTCTCTTTATGCCGCTCTTTGGTGTGACTCGCTTTGTTTCATGTTCCTTCTTATGGCTAAGAAGGAGTCCATTATAATGTTAAGTATGTTAGATATGATACAAATCAAGCGTGAAGCTTGAAACTCCGCCTCCTGCACTCCTGGATCCCAGAGTCAAACTTCTGTCCTTGGGACGTTTTTTATCTTCTTCTTTCGCATGTCTTTCCGATCTTGTCCCTATAAAGTCCTTCCTCCACTATGTTGATTCTATTTCTGAAAAAGGGGGTTTGCCGCCGCCGCCGCCGTTGCATCTCCAACAGTGACGGCCCAGTGAGCCGTATCATCATCCCAAAGATAACAAGAAAAACCAAAAACAATACGATGTGGCCGATGACCAACCCAGGGATGAAATAAAGGGAATTATCCTAACGCCGCCTTGTTGCCTACCCGCCGCCATCTTCCTCGTTTTACGAGGACCAACCCTTGGACACAGAGTAATCATCTGCTCTTTACTTTGTCATGGCCGAGAGAAAAATTATGATGCAATAAGAACAGGGTCAAGTGAAGAGAAATGAAGAGAGGGTATAATGCCGTACACCACTGCAACCAAAGCAAGTCCATCTTTCACGAGTCATCGTCGGATCGAGAGGGACCGCCTGACCTCAGAGCTGGTGACAGGCTAATTGCAATCTTCCTGGGTGTCACGTTATTGCCCCCGTTGGTGAAGCTCGACTTGCGTCTTCGGGTAAGGCCCGGTGTAATTGACGAGTTGGATTCCGTAGAACTGCTGTTGCGTCGCTTGCTATGCATCAGCTTGCCTAGCTCGTCATCGTCTTCCTCGTCTTCCTCTCGCCTGCGTTTTTCAGAGAGACGTTCGGGCGGTGGCACGTTAGCCGAGAGGTTCGACCGTGGGCTGAAATCGGCATTATCATCGCCATCGTCTTTGGACTGGTCATCGGTATCGTTGTCTAAACCATCGTCGCCATCTTCCTCATCCGAAGCATAGTCAACTAGAGGCTTCCCAGAAGTCGACCCGCCGTTCTCGGACAACCTATCTCCTGAGCTGTGATCTTCCCCTTCGTCTTCAGGGTCAGAAGCGTCCCAGTACTCCTCTTCACGTAAATCAATGGGTAGATGCTCCATCATTCTGACGTTGGGCGGTCTCCTCGTCACATCGTCGTCTGTATCGGCGAAGTACTCCATGTTGGTTGTGTAGCCCTCAGTCTGGTCATAGCGCGTAATCAGGTCTTGACAAGGCGGTATGTGGCTAACGAGAAGCAGGTTCTCCCGATGGTCAGCCACAAGCTGCTTAACCATGTCTCTCAGGTACTCCTTCTTGACAAAGTCAAAGAGTTCGGTGCAAGCTGCACTGACAAGATTGTCTCGCGGCACAGTCTCTACCAGAACCTCGAGAATAGGACCCAAAACATCGTTCTCGATTAAATTCTTGACATACAGCTCCTCCTGGAGGCCAACAATTAGTCGGAAGAATCGAATCGAAACTAGCTGCAGGTATTTGTCTCGACACTTGAGAAGCTGGACGATGCGTGCGGCCAGGTTATGCATGATGAAGAAGTATCTGCTAAACCGATGGTGTTGGCGGATAAAGAAGCCAAGCACTTCCACCAGGCATGAGAACATGGCAGCCTCCTGAACAGTAAAGTCCAGATGAGAACGGGTGTCTAGCTCGATAAGAGGCCTGAACAGCTTGAGAGCCGAGGACTCGTAGAAGCGAGTTAGGAAGTGCTCATGCTGAGGATCAATAGGCATTTGCATCCTTGCCCTGGCAGCCAATTCGGCGGCTTGCTGCTTGTTACCGCCGCCGTTAGCATTGTTATTAGCCGCTGCTTCATTGACAGCTGCTGGGCCTCCTCCCTGGTCCAGAATGACTCTGAGAGCATCTGAAATTTGGGTCTTGACTCCCAAGTCAACTTCGACCAGAAGAAGATCGATAAGGGAATCTAATAGTGATGAGGGCCCTTCATGCATCTGTCGGAAAATGGTTTGGCGGATAAGCGTCGGATCATGGTCAATGATGGATATCAGAATGTCCGTGGCCCCAACGCGCACGGCAACGTCAACATGTCGTAGGCCATAGTAGATGACGCGGAGCAGGCCATGGTTAAGAAAGTTGATGTACAGGGATTGGCGCGCAGGGGCTTGGATAGTCTTGGCAATTGCGCAGCATTGCTGGATAAACAGGACGGCCTCCTTCCGCTTCCTTGTGTCGGGGTAGTGGGCAGAGAAGATGCCAAAGAGGTTCATGAGGAATGTTGGGTTTGTCTGTAGGTGCTGGACGATTTCAACTTGGTTGAAGAATATGAGGGAGCTGAGCACGGAGAAGGTGGGATCATCGAGGATTCTGGCCAGAACAACATCTTTCAGGTATTGAAGGCGATATGTCTGGTGGATCTTGCGGCGGACTACATCGTCATTTATGGGGACAACTTCTTTGTAATGTCCTTGGTTGCTGAGCCAGTGTCGATGGTTGGCCTTGTGGCTGGGGAAGTCGGGGTCGTATTCCAGAGCACCGACAACTCCCAGGAGGCACTCGTCGGATACGGCGTGCTCAATAATAGATGTGTCATTGAGAAGCAGGATGCTCTTCATGATGTTGCACAAACGATGCAGGTCGGGAAGGCTTTCCAAGTCTTCGGCAATCTCCACCAGAGGGATAAGCTTGCTGATATAGTCATCGGCCACGATGAACTTGGTAACAGCTTCACGGCCGGTAGCAGTAGCGCTCATAACCCTGATGCTGGTCTCGATTTCCACCAGGTTGCCCAGCTCGGCAGTGGGAAGGTTAACGGGCGCAAGCGTTTCAATAGCGAGATCATCAGACAAATTGTCGTCTGATAAAGTGTTAGCTTCTGGTTTTATAGGTGTCATCAACAACGTGACGATCAATCCTTACCTACACCAGCGTTCTGCTGGAACTGCTGCTGGACGGAATTGACAAAGCGCCTTAACCACCACATGATATCATTAGCCAATGCTCAATCGATGCTATACTAAGAGAGACGGTCTTCGATGCTACGAGAGGCGCAATGGATAAGGATCGACAAGGGCGAGAGGGAGGGGAATAAGGGGAGTAGGAGGAGGTTGAGACAAACCAGATCATGGCACACCCCTCGGCCTCTTGGAAACTCAGGGCCATATCGACACCACTTCCTGGCTCCTGCCATACGATGAGCGTTTCTGTTGCACCTCATATTAGTTCAACGTCACCACAGACTAAGAGAGATGGAGGGATTTTGTGTATGAAGGGTTAAGAAAGGTGAAGAGGGGAAGAAAGTATGAATAAAAGGCGCTAGGAACGGTAAAGATGATTCAAGATAGGGAGAGGGAAAAGGGAAAGAACAAGAGGGGTCGGTGAGAGCTTACCTTGTTGCTTTTGAAATCCATCTTGTTTCTGGATTGTCGTCTCCAGAAGAAGTCGCTCAGGTTGGTCTTCTGACTCTACAATGACTTTTGGATCTTTGTTGCCATCTTCGGTCTACATTGTGCGTCGAACGCATGACACAATTAGCAATCAGAGCGACAATGACGGGGGGTGAATACGCGTATCCCTTGGATGGGCCACTCGCTTGCAGTGCCAAGATGAGTCAAGGAGGAGAGAGAGAGCGAGAGCCAAAGCAAGACCAGGTCAGGCCAAGGTAAACTCAGCCCAATCCAGCCCAGCCGATCCCATTCCTGCTGAACAATGCGTGGAAAGGAAAGTCGCCGGAAGGGAAAAGACAAGAAAACCGGTGGGAGTGGGGAACAGAAGCGAAACTACAATGCGCGAGGCGAGACAAGAGACAAGACAAGGGTAGCCGAGGACACGCAAAGAAGACGCAAACATACCGTCGCAAACTTGGCGGTGCAGAAGCCCGTTCCGCGATCAAACCAGTCATTGTTGCGCAGCTCGTAGACCTTGACGCGCTTCTTGTCCTGATGAGGCACCGGCTGTGCCATCATCAAGGACTGGGGATCGTCCCCCGTGACGAGTTGGCTACCGTAGCCCACCAGATCGGGCGCGAGGTCGAGATGCTGCTGCAGGGACAGCTCCGGCGTCTCGGGCTGGTCGAGGATTGTAAGCGCCGCCACGGTGCCTTGCGTAACTGCGCCCCGCAAAGAAGGGCGCGCGCGAAGCTATTCGGAATGGCAGGTTGGCCGTTCGCGGTTCGGACAAGGGACGAGGATCGGGATCGAGGGCGATGGAGTCGTTGGGCCTGTCGCCTGTCGGTGATGTGACTTGGGTGGGTAGTTGGGGGATGCGGGCGGGCGGGAGCGATGTGGCGTTTCGATATCGGGCGGACGACTTTTTTTGCGTATGGCTCAGTGCGCATGCAAACACGACAAGGCGCGACACACAGACGCAGCGCTCGGCGGTTCTTGTTCGCTCTGCGTGCTTCTGGAAATCTTCTCTTTTGCTTCTTGGGCTTCTTTTTTTCGTCGGGCGGGCGATGCGGATGGAGCACCACCGCACAAAGGACCAGCGAAACGGTTCTGCGCGACCGGGGCAGGCGGCAGAGAGGCGTCAGACCAAGGGCCTTCGGTGACGGAATATCTCGGGAGGCGGGCACGCGCAACCAGAGACGCAGCAAGTCTGGAGGAAAGCGAAAGTGCGCGCGCGGCGCAGCGGGCAGGAGCCTTTATTCTGATGGTCGGAGACGGTGACTTGAAGGCTGGATGCTTGCCGACATCTGGAGTCGTGAGAAATTCGGGGATAGTTGGAAGCGGGAAAAGCGCGTGACCACGGGCGGCGTCTTTGTTGGCGGCGGTGGAGCAAAAAAGGCAGAGAGCCTCTAGTGCTGCCTCTGGGCCTCTGACATCGGGGGGCTTCTGCTGCTTTTAGCGCATGGCGGCCGTCCCAGCGTCTGTTTTGGGGGAGGGCCCTGCTGTGCCACTGCCTAGAGCTGCCGCCTGTGCTCAACTTTCATGCGCTGGGCTTTTGCCGCCTGTTGGCTTTAGCGCCTTGCCGAGCGGAATTTTCCTGCCTCTGCCGGGGGGTTCAGTTGTTGGGTTGAGACAACGTTGGACTTCCGTAACTGTTGACCCAGCGGTTTGGCCTCGCTCCAATGGGGACTACAGGTACATCGTGCGTGGAGCACATGTACCTTGTTTTGGGCATCGGCATTATGTGCCCACATGTACCGCCAGCAGAACAGCCATGTACTAGCAGTCGTGCCGATGGAGCAGCTCGACAGCGCATGCAGTGCCTAGATGATGAGCCCGTCTTGCATTGATCTCTACTACTGCAGCCTTTTGGGCCGTCAAGATACCAAAGTGGTGGAAAGCAAAAAGAAGAGCACTAGAAAGCCGTTTGACTTTGCGGCATTGGATGCTACCCAAGGTAAAACAGACGGCTAAGACCTGTGCTAACGCATCGACCAGGGTCATGCATGTATGTACTCTCGTATCTTATTTTCGTCTCTCATTCTCTCTGTGTTTGAGCTCGTTATCGCACTTTCATCCTAAATGCCCTCCCATTCCATGTCCACAAGCTGCAATAGGCGGCACAAAATGGTCGCATCAATTCATTCAATCCGATATTCCCTTTCCGCTTCCCTCTCTGTCGCCCCCTTTTTTTCTTCCATGTTTCGCCTCCCGGAAGCCTAAGGCGTCAATAGTACGTAGTAGCATTATGTGCTAACAATTTTCGAAACCCAAGCACGCCACTGAGGCACGTGACATTTCGTCAGGCCGCCCACGCCCACCAGCGCACAGACCAAACCACCGGCTTTCCCCCCAAAATCCCCATACTAGCATTCCCCATTCCCACATATTCCCACATCGCATAGCCCGATCCTCGGCAGCGGGCCTTCGTGTTGCACGATCAACGCTGATGAGATGTGCCGATTCGATTTCGCATCGTGACTCGCAGTTACCGATGGCTACAAAATTAGAACTTGAAAGGATAAGAGCCGATCGGGAAAGGCCAAGAAGGTATTGCGCCCAGTCCAATCTGGTTCTTTTCAGCCATCCGTCCAGCCATCCATCCATCATCTCGCATCCCGCAAACTACACGTAAGTTTATCGAATTTTCCGCTGATCAGTCACTTTTCCCCTTTTGTTTATATTAATTTCCGGCTGCCATGATTCAATAATGCATGAAATGGCGCCCCGGGTGCATGTTCACCATGCATGCCCTGTCTTTGCTCTTTCGAAGCGTCACATCGAAAGTCTTGCCCAGGGTATCATCAATCCATCTTGACCCAACCTTGCCTTTACCGCAGCCACTAATTCGTCGTCAATCAAATTAAAAAATATGCTTAGAGCATGGCATCCTCGAAACCCAATCGCCAGTCTTGACGTTGGGGCCAAGCGTTAGCAGCAACGGGGGCCTGATTCGCCACAGCCGATGGCACCTCAGCCGCCACTTTTTGAATCACGGGCCCCTGGTCCCTTTTTTTGGAACGCCTCTTCCGTTCGTTCCTTTTTCCGGGGCTACGGTACACTAACGTTAGAGCGGACTATTAATTGATTCAGCTCGGCCAAATCGCCTAAAAGTTACGCTGTTTTGGCGAGATGCCGCTGTCATCCCTTTACCAAGGCTAACGACACATAGAGCCTGGGGACTGCGCAGGATATGTCATTATCCAGCCAGTTATTTCATCAACTGGCAGCTTCCACGTTGCGTTGTACTGCTCCCCAAACGTCCTACTCATTGACTCCTTACATGACGGAATGTCATTGGCGCTGTTTCCTTTGTGCTTATTTTAGCCTCCCTTGCAGCCTTCAGCCTCGAATCAAGCACGCTACGCTCATGACCGCTTTTTCAAGAGATCCCGGGTTGTCAGGCAGTACTCGCGTGTCTCGGTTCAGGTTGGTCTCGGCATAGTGATCAAACTTCTTTTCTCGCTTTCGGTCTACTCTTCCAACATCGAGGCAATGGTACAGCCCTGCAGTCACTTCCACATTGTCGCCTGCTGTCTTATCCTGTGAACCACATCTGGTGAAATTCAAAGTACATTACGATGGTGCAATGGCCAAACCAAACCAACCACGACAGGAACCTTGTATCATTCCTTCTGATTAGAGCCGGGATAACCACACCTCTCAATCCAGGTGTCGTGTGGTGCCCAGAAACCCGAAAGCTACAGGGTAGATGAATGCAAAACGAAGTACAACTTGTGATATGGTAGCCTTGGACCACTCTCCTTGGTCAAATCAGAGTAAACCACCATATATTTTCTACTTCATCATATAAACCAGTGCTACTCATCAGTCTGCTCAGCCACTCCAGCCTCAGGATGGGCTAGAAGCCAAAGCAATAGCCAAAGCGAACCAGTGAGGCCTCACCAGTCTGCCTTATTCAGCTCCGACTCCCTAGCTGGGCTGCCTTGTCTTGCTTCGTGCTGGCCAACCAATAAAGCGAGGACGCTCATTCTCACCGTTTTTGTCTTATCTGGCTGTCTTGCGACAGAATATGGAACAACAAACTTAGCAGAGTGCGCCATCATGCATGTCTCTGATGGCATAAGCCATTAGGCTGGGAGAGACGGTTAGGTCTGCCCAAGTATGGAGCACTGCCATATGGGCCGCCTGACTGCCATGTCGCCATATCTTGTTGACCAGTCGACAAACCTGTTGCCTCTCAGTGGTGCCCGCCAGTCAAGCAGTTGGTCGGGTTACTCAAAACGTGTCTGCCGCGAGGAAGAGGAGGACGCTTCACCATTCAACGCAAATAGACTTGAGCCACCATGCAGCCATGCTTATACCGCGCTCAAGGCATAGACGTATTGCTCCATCAGCGGGACAGGAGGGGCTTCCCGTCATGCTCTTGGTTGATCCCTGATCAGCGTAGAGTATGCGGTACCATCAACCGGTGTGAAAGACCCTGGCATCGTCTACATAGGGCCAGCACGTTAGCGTGGCCACGTCTTCAGATTCTTGACTATCACCGGTGACGGCATGCCTAAGGGGGTCATGTTCAACGCGCATGGCCGTGGGTTGAAGTACTATACATGCATCGCTTCGAGTCCGGACTGAGTCGTTAGTCTATGCAGTTGAGTGTTATTGCAACCAAAGCGGTAACTTGGAGGCGTTCGTCTTGTGCGCTGGACCGAGGCCCTGGCCCGCAACCGTGGTCAATGCGGACCTCAATACCAGATGGAGAGCTGTGTGCCACCAAAGGAGGCCTAGTATCTTCCCAGTACATGCAAACCCTTGAGGGAAGGGGGACTGGTTCCGGCATTGGACTGCATCCAACTACTAACACCTACTACCGTTGGCACTACGTCTCTAGCATCACAGACTTGGGGCTGAAAACGAGGGACGACAGGAATTTCATGGGTCCTACGGATCCTGGCTTATCTTGTGCGAGCCTTGCCTTGCAAGATATATGCTGTTGAGGTCTTACTGATATCAGGTCAATGCGTGTAGGCTCACACTATCTTGCCGGCCTTATCTCTCATTCCTTGCTCGTACATGTCCCAAAGATAACATACTCAAGCTTGTGCAACAGCTTGATCCGGATAGCCGTTCAACACTGGCATATGCATAATACATGCATGACAGGAACATTGGCAGTGTTGGGAATCCGGACACTACCCCCACGTCGTTCGCAAGCTCTATGTTTACTGGAACGCCCAGCGGGCAAGACGGGATGAGAAGCTGCCCTATTGGCACGAGTACGAATACTAGCACCAACAGCTATTGGGTGCCCTGCTTACTTAGTAGCATTCGGGATTCGGCTATTGTATGATTATCGACTTGGCATCCGCATCGAGTTAATTGGAAATTAATGGCTTCTGTCGAATTGGGAACGAACAGAAATTTGAGAAAATTCCCGACCCCTCGACCTCCCGTGGGAGTAAATTCACAATTGTGCGCCAGCCAATCTTTCAAGCTAGCAGCTGCTCGAGTTTTCTCGTGCTAGCCTTGACAATTATCTTGGCTAGCGACGATTTACTATTAATATCCACCATGTTGCTAAAGGACCACTTCGAATTGATGGCTTGGCTCCCAGCGGCACGGCAGCTACCGTCCCGTAACCTGCTACGGAGCAAAGTCGGTCTGCAACATGTGGGATGCGAAAGTACTCCGTACTCGTAGTACAACTACACACTCCGTATTCCGTACTCCGTGCATGATTTACCTCAAAGTCCGGCAAGAAGCGGGAGGCTCACTGCGGTCAGACGAATGTCTCG